TACGTCAGAGCTCAGATAGCACAGGACCTGGCAGCAGCCACACGCAGTATCTGCTCTGCAGCTTGTTTCAACTCTGCACTCATCCTGATGGGCAACCTGTAAGTATCCTCCAGCGGTGTCCCCTACCCCTGCAATGCCATGGCAATGGGGGGAGCTACCAGGGGAACAAGGAAGGTGCTAACATAGAGGAGGGAGCAGGTCCTCCCTTTCCTTGCTGCAAGGGACTGGCAGCTTCTTGATTTTAGGTTCTGCATAGCTGTGTGCCCCTGCATGAGGATCACCATGGGCTCTCCCCTCCCCCCCCCCCATCCAAGGCCAGACCCAGCCAGAGCTGCATGCCTCCTGTCCTGTTCCCTTTGCCCACCTGTAGCTTGCTGAGGGGAAGGTGCTCCCTGACTGCAAACAGAGACTGGGAAAGCATGTGCCATCCTGGTACCAGCATCCCAATGAGCCTTGTGTTGCACCGATACTCCAGGTAGCTCCAGGGCCCAACACACAGAGCTGAGGCACGGAGCTCCAGCAGCGTCCACCCTGACGCACAGAGCGGAACCAGCTGGGGGCTGGCCAGACATGGGTTGCTCTCTTGCACCACTGTGGTAGAGCCACAGACTCTCCTGTTCAAAAGTCATGGGCTGAGAGGCAAAGGAGCTGTCTGTGAAAGGCCCCAGATGTATGCGGGTGACAGCTCTTTCCTGTTTATCCCAGCTTCTCAGTCAGGCTGCCTCCAAGGCAGCTGGGACCAGGCTGCAGGCTCACCAACACTGCGCCTGCACTGCTGGCGGACTGCCAAGCCTTGGCTTCATATCCAGGCTATGTGCCTTTGCTGAGTTACGCACTCTCTGCCCCAGCTAGCACAGGGCACCGGCACAGGCAGATCTGTGGACAGTGGGAGGCTGCAAAGCTAGATCTGCCTGAGGAGGGAATGGGGCTGCACTGCTGGGAAGGGACAAACAGGTCCTGAGACATGAGAGTCTGCAAGGAGAGGAGAGGGCAGGGACGAGGAGTTCCAAGGGGCATTGTACCTGCAGCAATCACTCAGCAGCATGGGCACCCTGAGCTGGCTCTCCTCTACCTCTGCAATACTTGTCCATGAACCTGCTAGGTATCTAATTTTGCTTGCTTGTGTGGCAAATGTGATACTACAACTTTTAATTCCTGGTAGGCTTGTTTGTTTGTTTGTTTGTTTGTTTGGGGGTGGGGGAATAGAAGATGACATGGGATGATTAAGCAGAAACCCCATGCTTCTACAAGCCTGCTTTCCTTAGGACATTCATGTACAGCATGGATGTCCAACGTTGGGGCTGCACTGTGTGAAGAGGACTTGTTTTGAGCTACATATAAAACAGGAAATATATTTAATGTATATAAGGCCCTTTTTTTCACATTTTCCTACTGAAACATAAAAAGAGTAACAAAACCATAAAAGCAGTGGGATATTTGACCTTGTTTTTGTGAAACTAATACTTCAGTCTGGTTCGATGGCAGTGGTTACCATTCTTAGTGAGTTATCAAGGGGTTTGTCAGATATTTCTGATGAAATTTTACTCTTACTGTACATCATCCTGGTCCTGGGCCAGGCTCTGAGCACCCTGATCAGTTGTATGTGTCCCCGTTCATTGCAAGAAGTTGGATCAGATGGTCTTTAAAGGTCCCTTCCAGCTCAAGTGTTTATGTTTTCCTGGTCATTTGTGTCTTTGTAGTAGGTTCAGAACACCAGGAATCCTCCGTGTGGCCTCCCAGCCTCTCCAGAAGCCCGCCATGAAGAGCTCCAAGGGAGGCCACAAGAAGAAGTGAGGCACTGACCTGGGGAAGCAGCAGACCTATTTGGATCCTGTGACTCTCTCCATGCTGTGAGTGCTCCTCCTGGCTATAACTGTAGCAGGAGGAGACAAGTCTGAGATGGAATTAAGCTGGACCAGGTTCTGGGCAACTTGATCTAGCCATATTGTCCTTGTGCATTGCAGAAGAGTTGGACTAGATGACCTTAAAAGGTGTCTTCCAACTCAAACGATTCTATGATCCTATGATTTTTTTTTTTATCTCTGTACACATTTAGTGTAGGTGTCTTGCTCTCAAACATGCAGGTGGGTGGGAGGAGGATGCTGAAGGGTTTCCAGCCACCAGCAGTGCTGCCAGACACTGGGCAGAGGTGTGAGCAGAATCCTTCAAGGTGCTCTGAAAACTGAGAGACTGTACCAAATCCACAAGTGTCCATGGGGTGGGAATGCACACAGCATAGTGTAGGAAGGTTGGCTGTGGACACCCAGGACATTGGGATGATGTACCATAGCACAATTGACAGCGGAGAGGAGATAGCAGGACCAAACTCTGAGCTTCTTGATGGAACTGGTAAATGATTCACAGAAGATAATGCTTGGCAAACTCAAGAAAGGGATTATTTGCAGAGCCTCAAGCATGAAGCCAAGGTCTTGAGCTCCTTACCCCATGTTGGTGCTCCTGCACAGACAAAGGTGGCCGGTACTGCAATGCTGTCTGCCTCTGCAGCCAGCAATGCCCTTTCCTGATGGCACTTCCCTGTTTTTCAGTGTGAAACAGCAGCTTGCAGGAAGGCACTGAGACTGCACTTCTGGGAGAGCAGCAGGCAATTGCATTTACCGAGCTACCAGCCAGAGGAGGGAGGAAGACGGCGGCTGTAGGTCTGTCTGTTGCACCCACTTCCCTGGGCTCCAGCAGATGTGGGTGGGCAGATGCAGCTGGGTCTAGGGTGCCCCTTGGTGATGTCACAGCTGCCCACCTGTGTAGGCATTGCTCCTCAGGCAACCAGGGCAGAGGTGCATCATTCCTGCCTTCCTGTGGGGACAGGGGTGAGGGTGACTGGCCCTACTGTGCTTAGATCTTCAAGGGGATGCAGGGGCCTTGGGGGCATGGGGAAAGTGGGGCACTGGTGGCACCAGGTGTACGAGGGCTGCGGGGGCTGGGAGTAAAGTTGCACTTCAGATTCTTTCATGCCTGCATTCTGCTCAGCCGTCCAAAGATCACCAGGGATGTCCTCATCTGACCAGAATAAAATAAGAAGCATTTTCCCAGAATAGCTCTTAACCCCATCCTTACTGTGCTTCAGTGCTTCTCTAGCCTGCTGATACATTCCTGTCTTGTTCAGCATGAGGCTACAGCACATGGGGCATGTGTGGAAATAAGGGAACAACACTGGTCTCATTTCCTATCCCCTCTAATACATTGGGAAGCATAGCCAGCGCAGGGCAGAAATACTTGTGCTCTGTGTGCAGGGGGAGTGCTGGGTTCTCTGTGACAGGCTCAGAGCTCTCCTTGGAAAGAGACCATGTACTATAACCAAATGGTCCCCCCCCCCTTCATGTTTTGCAGCAAGTGGCCCCACAGCGGGCTTCACAATGGTATCTAGACAGCATGTGGGCCATGGAACAGCTCTGCTGTGCTGGAGGTACATGGGGCACCTGCTCTGTGCTCTCACCGTCCTGGAAGTTGTCGGGACCTTGGGACTGATGATCTACGCACTGCTGGTGGAAGCAGGGAACCTGGTCAACCTCCCCAACAAACGCATCGGCTTTTACAACTTCTGCCTGTGGAACGAGACAGCTGGGAATCTGCAGTGCCTGGAAGTCAGCGATATGCAGGCCATGGGCATCAGCTGGCTAGGAATAGCACTGGCCAGGGTTTGTGTCTACATCTGCTCAGTCATCAGTTTCTTCTACCCCCTTTTCCTTGCAAACGTGAGGTGCACAGACAAGGTAAAGGGCTGGAGGGTACTGCTCATCATACTCATCACCAAAATGTTACTCCTATCTGGAGGCCTGGGTATATTTCTCCTCCAAACCTCACCGTGGATTAACCCCTCCGATTTCACTGGGGGTTTTCTGGCACTGGTTGGGATTCTGGCTCTGATTCTGCTCCAGATTCTCACTGTCACTATGTACACCATCTGGGCCAAGCACATGAACCCATGTGAAAGCCCTTTCACTGAGGAGGCCTTGCCCATTAAAATCTGAAAATGAGATGCAGGATGATGTGATTCAGAACAGTAATCATGCTACAGCTTTAATCACTGTCAGGATCCTTAGTGCAAGTGTTCATATCCAATGTCCTGGTTTCAGCTAGGACAGTTATTTTCTTCACTGTATCTGCTACAATGCTGTGTTTTGGCTTTAGCATAAAAACAATTTTGATTGCATACCAATGTTTCAGTTGTAGCTGAGCAGTGCTGTGCAGAGCTGAAGACATTTCAGTTTTTCAGCTTCTCATACTGCCAGGCTAGCAAGGGCACTGAGGGGGGACACAGAGCTGGGACGGGTCAGAACCAGGAGAACTGCCCTAAACTGATCAAAAGGATATCCCATACTATAAAATACTGTGGAAAACCTCTAAAAACATTTCACTTTCTCAAATATGGGTGCATTGCTTAGTTGCATGAGTGGAAATCACATGCTTATTTTGCAGTCAGAACTAGAGAAAGAAGCTTGCCAAAGAGGGTGTGGCAACAGAAGATAGACTGTCCTACCCACCCAGTGCAAGTCTAGGCAAGTTGCCCTGATGCAAAAGAGGTCCATGTGACCAACATGATAAGGGACAGTGGCTACAACTTCCAACTAAACTGGTGGACACACAGATACAGAAGTACTTTACATCTTCTGCTACGTATTGCAGTGAAATACAAAGAAATATTTAACTGATAATTGCTGTTGTTTCACCTAAATTTAGACTAAGGGAACTTCAAAACCTCAGCAACTGATATGTTCAGGTAGTGACATGTGACTGCAGCAGGGAGCTGGCCAGGGGGACAGCTGCTGCTTGGGGACTGCCTGGGCATTGGTCATCAGGAAGCCAAGAATTGCACTGTACATGCCTTGTTTTAGAAATATACATTACTATCACTACTGTTATTTTCCTTTTCTCTTTCGTCTTACTAAATAATTTTTTTCAGCCCATGAGTTCCGCTTTTGTTTTCTTTTCCTAGATTCTCTTTCCCAGCTCCCTGAGAGTTTCTTTTGGGTTTTGAAATTGTAAGCCAGGTAAAAACAAGAAAAAAAGTTTATTTAGTTCTTCTCCACTGAAGCTAAGCAGGTACTTACAAAAAATTTTTTCTTCAAATCTTTATTCCAAGTAACATTTGTGCATGAGTTACCACTCTTACCCACATGATATGAACCACCTTGCTGGTATCGATCTTCCTTGGGATGTTCTCACTACGAGCTGAACCTTGACTTTTCCAGCAGCTAGCATCAGAGGAATCCCACTTACAGGTGGGCTGCAGGTCCACAGCTTAGCTGACAGGAAATTCATGCTCATAGCAAGTATGCAGCCCCTTCTTTACTGCCCTGTATTTGGTCCCATCCAACACAAGCTTGGAGCTCGCAATGAGCTCAGACTCAGCTCAGGCTCCCATTAGTGCCCAGCATACTTTGCCATCCTTGAGTTTGCGCAGTAACTGCATTCCTTCACTCCCTTTATTGCTGTCTGTGAGGGTTTGTAGTGCCACAGTGACAAGATGCAAGCATAAGGGAGACCAACAGGACGCTGCCGGACACGTGACCCAGGGATGCCCTCTCTGAGGGTATCCAATCTTCCTTCTTGATGGACTGTGCCCTCCTACCCCCGTCCTGCCTGCATAGGTGTGTAGAGGCAATGCTAAGTGAAGAAGATCTCCCTGACGTATTTCAGAGCATCATCATCAGAGTCATCAAGGCCAGTCCTCTCTGCATCCGTGCTGGCACCAGAAGAAGACGGGGGGCCTGGGCTGTGGTCGCTGCCTTCCTCCATGCAGGCTGTGCCTCCGGGAGCCCGGCTCGGTGCTGCCTGGAGCTCCTGTTCCACTTGCTGAAGGTCCTGTTCCTCTTTGCTCCCGCTGCGGGCCTTCTCCTCAGCTCCCTCGCGCTGCAAGCTCTGACACAAGGACCATCAGCCGTCCCCACGCAGGGCCACGCCAAAGGGCTGCCCCTGCGGGCCCCGGCCGTGGCCAGGCCGCTGCGCTCGGGGTGAAGGGAAGCCGCGGGCTCACCTCGGCCAGCACGCCCAGCGCCACGTCCACCAGCTCCGCCTCGTTCATGCAGTACACGGTCGCTGCCCTGGGCACCGCAACGGGACAGCTTATAGCGGGGAGGGCTCCGGCCCCACCCACCCTCTCCCCGCCCGGCAGCACTACCTGGGCTCAGCCGCCGCTTTCTGTCGCCGCCGCCGCCCGACCCGGCCCGGCATCCCCGCCCGCCGCTCGCCTTCCCCCGCCGCCCCCATCCAGGCGGGCAGCAGCCGCCGTCTCCTCGCCGCCGCCATCTTGTGTGCGGCCGCCATCTTGCGCGCCGCAGAACGGCTCGCGGCTGTCCCCTCCCGGCCCGCCTCGCGCTACGCACCGCCAACGGGCTGTAGGGCTTTTTTCTGGATATCACTGCCCGGACGGTGATGCCTCATTCCTGCCTTGACCACCCCAAAGCTGGGCAGGAAGCCTCTGGCCATTCCTTCCACTGAGTTTACTGCTTTTAGAAAAGGCTGCTGTCATTACTGCCTGGTCTAGGAGCTGGCTGCAGTCCCATCCCCTCAGTTCCTCAGCAAAACAAAAGTAAGACTACCTCCCTGATGCCCTCCCCCACCCCGCGTGGAGGTGATACTGAGCACCTCAGCCTCAGGCTGAATGCTGGCAAGGCTTCGACAGTTCAAAGAACGAGAGAGGCTCAGCAAGAGGCTTTTATTTCGAGCCACCTCCACTGGAATGTCACTCACTTATCTGTTCCACTGCACAGACGCTCTGACTTCAGAAACAGATTTAAAAACAAAACAAAACAAAACAAATCACACTGACTTCATCTTATTAACCCAGAAGCTATGCACTGCCACCCACCCAGCAGAGCAGCACTCTGCACCTGGCTAATTTTTGCAGATTAGCACATCCACTATTTGGCTGATAGACCAGCTATTTATCAACTCTCCAGAAGCATCAACTGACTGAATCCGCTCCGCCCTTCCACTCAAGCACTTGTTTTCCCTGACTCAACCTATATTTAGTATTTTAGGAGATAGCTCTGGTGACAGAGCATTACGAAGGAGCAGGCAGGTTCTGGTCTTCTTATCTACCATCAAATACATCAGGCATTATGTAGTTTCTGATCTCTAATGCAAGCGTTTCAAAAGGTCTGACTCAGGATCCCTTCTGCAATTGCCAAAGAACACAACACATCCAAGCAATGCAGTGATTTTTGCTGAGAGACAGTGCAGGAAGTACCCGGTGAAAACAAAGTAGTCTTTTCTCCACACAGGAGCCTATTCTTGGCACATTTCTGCCTCAGCCATCTTCCACACTTTGCAGCAATAGACAAACAGAGCACAGGAATCAAATGCAAGGGAGTATTTTTTTTTTTTTTTTATGAAAAACAACAACAATAACACAAAACAGACAAAAAAAATATTAAACCCAAATAATACTCTGGTTCTGCACTGGCTTTTCCAGTTTGAGCCATCCATGTCACCACACACAGTGCTGCCTCATGTATCCCATCTCCAGCTTCACCTTCTACATAGCCCCTGACATGATTCCAGCAGCCTCCTAACCATGTGCTACATTGAGACCCCCCTAAAAGGAGGAGGCCAGCTGCCATAAGGGATCAGTGAAGCTCTATTTTTCACTGTTGCCACTGAAGCAGGCCCATATCAGCATTCTGTTGCACAGTGGTTTGGCATGTGTATTTAACATCTGCCAAGAGGCAAAAGCTAAAATGAAAAGAGTGATTGTGGTATGCCTTCTTTCCCATGCAGTTTGTTCCTGTGGAGTTAACACTTCTTTTTTGTTTGTTCGTTTTTTTTTCCCCCAATTCTGCTGCTCTCTTCCTTCAACACCGCTCCAATTAAGACTTTTGAGCCAGTAGGGTTGTTAACTTAATCTTCCCATCCATAGAGGCAGTGAGGCAAGTCCCACAGTCCATGGCTGTGCTCCAGTCCACTGTGACAACAGGAGCTCGGTGTCCTCCCAGGGAAAGGCAACTCTCCAGGACCTTGTCCTCACCATTCAACTACAAGAAAAGTTTAAGAATTTAATGAGGCAAGCTGCTGCAGCAGGGGCAGTGTACCCACAGAAGAACCCAAAGCCTGCTACATACTCCATATCCCTATCAGCATACTTTTGCCTGTTTAATTGTGTATACTTATATTTATGTAGCACACGAGGAAGTGAGTTTTCCATCTCAAGACAGAAGCACATGATTTCCCACAGCTCAGCTTCTGACATCAGCTAAGCTGTAGTAACTGAACAAGACAGGCTAAGAGCAGAGTTGTGAGGAACATGCAAGTTTAAGCTGTAGCTCATGTTAATGCAGGGTGCTCTGAATGTCCCAGCTACTAAGTAAAAACTCTATTTAAACTAACACGTAAGTGAACTGACTTAAAAGAAGGCAGGCTGTGATCAGTTTGGGTTGAAACCATTCAGGCTTATTCTTACTGCAGTGCTGTGCACACATGATGAGGAAATAATCAGTCTGGAACTAGCAGAGCAAGCACACGATGCAGATTACAGATGAGCAGTCACATTTTGTGCTGAACAGTCAGAGTCAATAAATAAAAATACTTTTGTCTTGGGCACTCAGCACCAAGGAATATCACTCCTGGAGTTCAAACACTTGCTTGAACAGCACACAACGCCAAAATGCATGCAGTACAGACCACGCATCAAACTGAACAGCAAGTTTCACAAAGCAGAGGTAGGCCAACTGCAGCCTTGTTACAAATGTTTGTATGGATTCAAAAGGGAGTTTTTCATAATTTTGTGGTCTTACCTTAAAAATGACTCCCCCAGTTGAAGAACATGTCAACATATAGTTCCCCTCAGAGTCAAAGGCAAAAAGTCTTCCTCGTGGGAACTGGACTTGTTTGTATCCACTATATCCAGACAGCACAAAGGGACCTGTAGCTTCACTGGGAAGAGCATACTCTGAGATCTTCAAGCCACTTTTGTGGATGTTCCACTGAATAAACTAGATTAGAAAGAATAAATTATAAAAGCCCATAGTTAAATTGATTGGAATGAGTATAGAGGGGCCATTCACCATTTTTAAGAGAGGGTGATATCTCACACCAACAGAAGATAGCATTTCCACAGCTCTAAGTGACTATATTTACAAAACATGGGCTGTAAAAGCAGCAAGTGTGCCTACCACCCAGACACACATATGCATTATGTTTCATAAGCACTGTTGCATGAGTACTTCCACACTACAGACAGGATCCTGTTGGGATTTCAACAGCCAAGGAACCATGCCACCAGAGAAGAGATTTGGCCTGAGCCAAATCTCTATTGCTAGAGACTTTGGAACTACAGGCATTGAAGCATTTATTATAAGCAACTGAGAGCTACTTGCAAGGAAGTTCATGCTAAGTTATCAAGGATCTGCTCCCCAAGAAGTCTGAGACTTCAAATATGGTGATTTCAGGAGCACAGAAAGGTCATCTTTGCCTGGATTCCTTAAGAAGGAAATGCTTCACCTCTTGGTGAAGGGTTTGTATACAAGGTCCAAAGTATCTTCAGCTAATACACTTTCCAGCCACCATCCCTACAGAAAATAAATGCAGCTGGGTGATGCTATGCATGTAAGAATATGGTTACCAGCCTGCAGATTCATATGGTATGGGTAACAATAAAAACACCTAAAAGAGTGGACTCACAAAGGTATCTTTACACCAGCTGACCAATGGAAATTACCTAGAGCTTACCTTGCCATCCTCGCCTATGCTGTAGACAGTGTTCTCATCATAGCTGAACTCAACGGAGTAGACTTCCCCATCATGTGCCTTCCAGCTCATGGCACACTCATGCTGCTGCATATCTGAGGGAAGAATTGGTACTGAAACATTCCCAGTACTCACACAGAGCTGGGGTGAGGAGAGACCATTTCCATTAATAAGGATACTATCCCAGCCCTCTCTTCCAGCCAGTGGGAGCACAGTCCAGTCTGAGCATCCTGTCTTTATTCTCCAAAGTGTAGCTTTTAATTCCTGACTACAGAGCCACTGTCTATAACTGGACACTGCTTTAGAGCTCAGTGTCAACTGCACTCATTCATTACCAAAGACACACTGTCACCTTTATCCTCCTGCCCTTGCAATCCTATTCACTCCCACAGCTGCTGCTACCTCTGTCCTCACACCTACATGGTTCTGTAGCCCTCACAGCTCAGCCACTGTGGCAAAAGCAGATCCTTTTTCACAAAGAAGGAAGTCTCCAGCTGCCTTTATCACAAGGATAAACTAAACTAAAGAGGCCAGAATCTGAGAAACTGAAATTGACCAATGAAGAAAAACCCGTGTGAAGTCTTTGCCTTCAAACAGTAATCCTTGCAGGGCAGCCTCCGGCACATCCAACATGACATGACTCAAGTGCAAGTTAGCTTTGCTCCCCCTCAGCAGGAGGGAAACAAATCCAGCAGCACTACCAGGGCTTTCACACAACGTCCCCAAGGGAAAGTTTGTCAATTCACTGAGAGTGGTTGTGGAGGGCAGAAAACAGCTTTCAGCTTGGCGTTTGGTCACATCGCACTGTTGTCTCCCTCCTGGAAGGAGAAGGATGCTGGAGCTTCAGCAGCCAGCAAGTGACATCAAGGGACCACCTCACCACTCAGTTCCAACATACCAAAGAGACGAACAATCCCATCCGCAGCCCCTGTGACCAGCAGGTTGCCATTGTGGTTGAAAGCTGTGCAGTTAATAGCAATAGGCTCAGGCTCCAGGGAGAACTGCAACTAGAAGGGAAAGTCTATGTGAATGTCTAAAAGCCTCTAATGGATCTGAAATGCTAAGCAGCTATACTCCAGGGGAGGGAAAGAAGATGGTATCAAATAACAAGAGCTCCCGCAGTTTGAAGTCCTGTACCTTTCATGACCACAGACTCTAGGGTTGGCAGCTGCATTTAACTGTGATGCCTGATCAATAGTTTACCTCAGCCAAGATGCAGTTATCTTGAAAACGTCCTTAAAGCTGCAAAACCAGCTTCTGGCAGACACTAGTGCAAGTTTGTTTCATTCTCCTATGCATCAGGGAAAGCATATATCAAAGGTGAGGGATGGGACCAGATTCACTGCCAGAATCTGATCCAACAGAGATGATGTAAGACTAATTCTCTGAAAGAAGCCTTAACTTTAAAAACAAACAACACAGGTTGAGAGGCACTTGAGTACGTGGCTAGAAGAGTTCTGAAGATAGCGACCAGCTGCCATACAGCTGACACTGGAGTCCTGGAGCATGCTAGATGGAGATGAACAACTAAAGCTCACCATGCTCACACCACAGTGAAAAGTCAGAATAATTTAGAAAGAAAGTCTACACATTAGAACAGGAGATATTCATTCTCAGCAAGCAGACCTAGAAAGGAAAGTAACCCAGCAAGTACCTGCTGCTTCATTGTTTTAGTGTCCCACAGCAACAGCTTCCCAGGAACTTGGTTCATGCTTTTGCCCCCAGAGGTGACTACTGAGAAGTCCATGTGGGAGATGGGGCTCTGGGCTGCTGCAGAACAGACAAAGGAAGCACCACTTGGACTGCAGGCAAGCGACAGGATTCTGAAACACAGCAGAGAGTGTTAAATGCTTCTCTCCAGCAACCGCCTCAGGAAGACCATTCAGCTCCTCATTCTGCCATGAAAGACAGGTCCTCCATCTCAGATGCATTGTAAAGGAGGGCATGATTCACGTGCTTAGACAAACTGTGAATCTCTCCAGTGCATCTGATCAGTTTTACTCCACTCAGAGACTGCCTTCTGCACAAAGTCTAAGTGGTACTGCAGTTACAATATCTTTGTACAGTCAAAACTAACAAGATATAGGCACATAAATATACCTGTGTACAAAAACACACGTATACATGTACATAAGTACATGTATGTGTACACATGTGTATATATACATACAGACCCAAAGACATAAATCAGCATTTGATAGTTACCTGGGCATGTCTTCATCAATGCTGATTTCACAGAGATTCTTCTTTGCTTCTGTGTCATAAAGACGAACTGTCCCAACTCCACTGCCGAGCAGTAGCTTGAAACCAGCAAGGAACAGATGAAGGAGTGTGAGGGAAGCATACAACAATGCCACGCAGTAACTGCCAACACCATAATACTACTACTTCCCCCCCCAGTTCATGCATTCTGATTATACATAGCTCCTGCAGGTACATCCTGTCTTTCTGTGCATATCATGCTGAGTAAGACAACTGTAAAGCCACAGGAAGTGGGGTAAAAAGCACTGCTTTCCTTTCCAGACATTGTGAGAAAAAAGCCTGATAAGCAAAGAGGTAAAGTATAAACCACTTTCTGGAATATGGTTCTAAATTCTAAGATGCTAACTCCAGATAGGGTCTCAACATCTATGGGAGCAATGGAAGAGTAACACAGAATTTAAAGAGAAAGCCAAGAAGAAACTGCACCTTTCACCCAGAGAAGAATTAAATTATTCAGAAGAGCTCATACGTTTTCCCAGTGGTGCTACAATTTAAAAATGAAGTAATGGAGGGATGTATATCAAGGAAAATAAAGAAAGGAAAGCCTTCTACCTTCAGAGCCTGAATAGCTGCTGCATCCCCACATATTTCAGAGAGAAGAACCTTTCTATGGAAGGAAAAATTCCCCAAAGCAGAAGAAATAGTAGTGACTGCAGAGACAGCACATAATTTAAGACCCTCTCTAGTAACAGAATTAGAGGGAAAATATTTATGGGAAAGAAACATTTAAACAGCCATGATACTTATCAAGCATTCAAGCCCTTATGCAAGTACTGGCCCCTAGCGGTGAAAGGCAACAGTGTAAAAGTGGCCACTGAGCCATTTTCACACCTGCACAAGCCAAGACACTGACATCACACCCATGTTCTCTCTTCTGTTTCTGGCTCAGGGTGTGAGTGAAGCTCCACAGCACCCTGCTGCAGGGTTCCCACAGGCTGCTGTGGCCCTGCCTGCCTTTACAAGTGACAGCCTGCAGAAAGGCAATTCTCTCAATGGAGCAGCTCTGTTCAAATGCCACAGCTCAGACAGTTATGTTTCAGGGCAAGCAGTAATGAATTTCATGCTCAATACACAAAGCACACACCTCACTCTCTGGCTTTTATTAGAGCCTACGGGCTTCAATTCTCCCTCAAGTGGAAACTAACTGTTCTGCTGATTTTATCTGCAGTGCTGCCACCTAGAAAGTAGTGTGAAACATAACAACAGAGCTCCATCAGCTGAGACTCTCAAGTCTCCAGATGCACAAGCTACTCACCAGCCGATCACGTTTGGTTGCCCATTCTAGAGACAGCAGCGGAGACTTGGAAATAGATGAAGCTTTAGTTTGCATTATGGGGTTAAAAGACCACACTTTGATGACACCATCCACATCCAAGCTGGCCACCCTCCGTCCAGAACAATCAACCCTATGTGTAGAAAGAAATAGATTGGATGTTTTTCTCCCTGAAGTTCTTAGATCCAAATATGTATCCCAATAATCTTTTCTCACCTGGCCACACAGGCTCCAATTCCTATTGCAGGAATCAGAACTTCACTGCATTGTTTCTCACTTAGTCCACGATCAGATCAATAAAATGCTCCAGCTCCACTTGCAAAGTATGCCCTTAAGCAACACAGATGTGCTTTCACAGGGAATTTCCTCCCTGCTGACATCCTCCTATCACAAAAATCTTTGTCCACTATCAGTGCAAAAAGAGGCCAGATATGGCTGGTCCTCTGGTTTCTAGGATAGAGCCCTCTTCTGCCAGCTTATTACCTGCAGTACATGATAGATGAGTGGTGCTCCCCGTACTCCTCCTGGCTCAGGACAATGAAAGGCTGCTCTTGTCGGACCCCAGACTCCATACTGCTGGCAGAAGTCTTGGTTGAAGTCTCTGCTTGGTCAGCTTGTGGCTCTGAACATGGCTCTGGCTCAGATGCACTAATATCTGCTTTCTTCTCAGCACTGTGAACCTGTAGGAACAAATCTCATGTGAAATACAAGGAGGCAGCATCTCCAGGTCAAGCTTTTCAGCCATACTGCTTGTTGGGAGAAAGAACAAAGAAGCTGCTGTACTGAAACAGAAGCATTGCCAGTTCAAGTCCTTTTCTGCCAATGGACCTTCTTCCTGAGCACAGGGATAGCAAATTGCACAACTGTCCCATTTGATACGACCTCCTTGGTTGTAGAGTCTCTTATACAACCCCACAACATACCCAGTCATACAGTTTCCTATAAGGATCAAAGGAACTGCATCATCTCTGTTGAGCATACCCCAGCTGATATCAGAGGCTCATTTGACACTATTTACGCACAGATTTGCGATCAAACATCAACCTACACTGCCTAAAGCAAGACTTACTTATGATTTCATAACATATAGTTCAATCTTCACAAAAGCTCTTAAAGGATGGTTAAGCCACAGTGGATAGACTGTGCTTGTCTGACAATATTTAGTCTGTGCATGATATGGCAATCAATGCAGCCAACTAATAACAACTGTAGAGTCAACACACAAGTCCAGAAGCTCAAAATCTCTTTGACAGGACAGACAGTGTTAGAACAACTGGATTTTTAGGAGTTGAAGGTATGTAAGAGAGACAAGACATCCACCGTGGCACACACAAGTCTCTGAAAGCAGGTTGTCACTAGGAGGGGACACAGAGTACAAGTCAGTATAACACGTGCAAACAACCCTTATCTACACCATTCTCTGAAGATAAAAATGCCGGATGAGTCTGCATGGTAATGGATTTCTGTTCCCTATAAGTAAGTCAAGGATACGTTAGTAGTGACATATCTTGAGCAAAAGGTCAAGCACTGCATAATTAAATCATCTGAATTCACAAAACTGGAGAAGACCGGGAAACAAATCCAAGAATGCCTCGCTCTGTAATAGTTAAAAGGGGGGGAGATAACTAGCAATGAATGGCACTCAAGTCAAAGAAACAATACAGCCTTTCAGCTTCCTTTTTGCTTATATGCATTGAATACAGCAGTAAGCTAAACAGTATCAGCTTTGCCATGAGGATCAGACAACTTCTGCAAACCGCTGCCTTAACCTGGAGCATCACAGCAAGAGGGAGGTCAAAGTTGGGCAGTGGGGGTCTGCAACATTCTGACTAGTGTTTAATAAAGTCTTTTAGATAAGTCATGAAGAACAAAGTTCTCTCACAGTCTGGAACACTCTGATGGAATAACATCTCTCCAAGGCAGCGCGCCTCATGCAGAACAGCCACACGTACCAGCTGATAAGTGCCAGTCCCTCAGCACCGGCTCTCCCGCAGGGGACTTGCTTATACAGCCAGTACAAACATGGCTGAGATGATGCCATTGTTCCTCCAGTGCAGTTTCAAAAACCACATGGCTGCTGGAAGCCAGACAACATGCAGGTGAACAGCAGCAGTCCACTGACCTTCAGCAGTTTAACTTAAGACACGATATTATTATCACAGAATTGTAGAGGCTGGAACGAACCTCTAGAGATCATCAAGTCCAACCCCCTGCCAAAGCAGGCTCCCTAGACCAGATTGCAGAGGCAGGCATCCAAGCTGGTCTTGAACATCTCCAGAGAAAGAGACACCACAACCCCCTTTGGAGCACTGGAAAAGGCTGCCCACACCCTGTGAAGAAATTCTTCCGCACATTTGTTCAGAACTTCCTATGCTTCAGTTTGTGGCCATTTCCCCTTATCCTATTGCCACGCACTGCTGAAAAGAGTCCGGCCTCACCCTTTGCCTCCCACACCTCTTCTCCTCATAATAGAGGTGCTCCAGGCCCTTTTATCATCATACTAGAAAGCAGGACATCCTTCATGTTGCAGTTTTGTGTGGGGATACATTTCCACTCCTATCCAGGAAAGCTTGTAACTTTTTGCTGTCCACACAGAACGTGCACAAACCAGCATGAGAATGTAACTCACAGAAAGATTCAGAAATCTGTGCTGCGTGATTTTTTGGAACAGCATTTTTTATCTATTTATTTAAAGATTAAGTATTAAAATCATCTTACAACTGCATACTTCTGAGGGATGAAGAGCCATGCCACTAAGGGGATTATAAAAAAGTATTTGAACACATGGCCATTGACATCATGACAAACAGCAACTCTATTTAAAATGTCAGCACTGAGTCCCATCTAGGGACAAAGAAATAAATCTGAGAGCAGAAGGAGTTGATTAACCACAGAGGTTAACCTTTGATACAGCTGATTTGAGCAGCAAACCAGAAGCTTAATTGGAACATTTGCATTTATCATATCATCTAGCATAAAAACAACAGAAACTGCCAGCCCTCCACTGCCCAGTCTCACAGTGTTGCCCAGTACCTGAGAGGTCCCTTTTGACAGCAGCTCTCTCCTTTCCTTTCCATGCTCTTGCAAGCGCTTCTGACGCTGCTGCAGGGAGCTGGACTCACCTGCTACTAACCCACTAAAGTGGCTCTTCCCATCCTTACTGATTGCTGTTCCTTCTTTTCCTTTGGCACTCTGGAAGGCAGAGGAATGAATTGGCAAAGTTTTACTTGTACAAGGCTGCAGAAGAAAGCAAAAGAAGAGGCAAAAAACAAAACACAAGCTAAACATCCACAAGGGATTTACAAGTCCCTAATCATGACCTTCAGCTCTTCTTGTACTGCATTCACGCCCACTGTACATGGGCAAGAAAGAACATTTCTTTTCCTCCCCCTCCTCCAAGTGAAAGCAAAAGCCTGGAGCAGCGCTGTGCTGCAAGTTAACTCTTTGGTTACTGAGCACCTTTCAATGAATCAAGTTGAGAATCACCTGGTGATTTGCTGGTTCTTTCTTCCCTAGCAGCACACTGCCAGTCTGTGTTGGAGAAGCCCCACTCGGCTGAGCTGGTCTGGCAGGGCCCTTTTTACTCTGGGAGAGAAGAGAGGAGAGAAAGCCTCCTCGAGACTGAAGAGAATGTGCAGTACTTCTCTGGCTGCAGGTCATATCACTAAACAAAATCAAAAAGAAATAATAAACAGAACGTGGAAGTGCAGACAGACAACCTGATCAGAGATAACCCAATGAGAACAGTGCCTGCTGCCTGAACCTCTGGAGGACATCTTCTTTCCCAAGCTCATGGAGCACTGTACACTAAAAAATTGTTTCAGAAATATCCTGTGTTAATGTTTAAAGCAGATCATTTTAAATCACTGGAACCAACAGTCACTTCCTGTAGTGTCATAGAGATGGTGGGCCAAGCTGTTGCTAAATCAAATGTATGGTCACCTTAAACTCCTATTCCTTCCACTCAGGGTTAGTACAGAAAGAACGCAAGGGAAACACAAGAACACATTTCTCCAAATAACTTCTTCAGCCTGGGTTTCCAATTCACAGCTGAAAGCAGACCTGTCTGAAAGGCAATATACAGGGTTTCACTCAACACCCTGAGATATGCAGCAAGTTATGTTCACCAGTTTTAAAGCTCGGGTCCTCAACCTTTGAAAACACACACCTCCCTTAAGTCACAGCACCTAGAGCAGCAACTGTTTCCCAGAACATAACTGGGATTTTCTACACTACAGCTTCCTCTGAGAGTAGGGTAGCACACAGAAGAGGAGGAGTAGTCACCTCCACTGTCTCATTCTGTCTTAAAAGAGGGAACTGTTCTACCAAAAATAAACGTTAGGTCAAACAGAGACATAGAAAAGACAACCAGAATTAGCCACCAATTAGCCAAGTTAACACAAGAGTTGTCCGCACAAGAAAGACCACTTTTAAAGTAAGTTTTTCTAATAGAGATGGTTAAAAATATGGCAATTCTATTAGCTCATCCCTTGCATTGCTCTCTCCCACACATGCAGGTGAGCATGAAGGCTTTTTGTAGGTAGGCCAAAGAGATCTCAAATTAAACTCTGCAACTTGTCCTGTGCAGAGCAGTTATCAAGACAGTTCTGTAGACAAACCTCTTCAATCAGAAAATTTACACTAAAAGTAAGATTTTAAGTGTGACCTCTGTTAGAGCTTCTATTTGTTACTGATAGCAGCATAATTTGATCAACTGCGATTAAACTGCAGATTTATGAGGGATCTCATGTACAACTGAGCCTCAGAGAATAGCAACTCACTCTCCTTTGACTCTGCAAAAGCAAGAAAGCCTGTCTCTGTGGAACAACGACCCTTCTATGTGGTGCAGGAACAGCATTTAAGAACAACACAAAGCACTCACAGCCACTAAAGAAAATACCTGAGCAGTGCTTCAGGGTATTGCACTGCTACCAGTGCACTGGCTGCCCAGAATGCCCTGGTATAATGCTGAGACCAAAGCAGAGTCACTTCTATATGCGCTTCAGCTCCCAATAACCAGCAAGAATCTCTCTCAAAAGGTGGGAAATAGACGTCATAGCAGACATTTTCTCCAATGAACACGGAAATGACACTCCTAAAGCCTCCTTTAGCCATATAAAGGCATCAGGGCCCATCCTCCCCTGCAGGCACTCACAGCTCAGAGTCCCCGAGCCGATCCATGTTGGCCACATATGCAGGCAGCTTGTGATGCACAACTGCTTCTTCCACTTCCAGTTCCTCTTTCTTCATGCGGGAGGATTCAGCCTGCAAAGCAAATAGCTACAAGAGAAGAAAGAACCAAGTAAGTTAGCAGAAATTACACCAGGATGCACCACTTTCCCCCAGGCTGAAGTTGTTCTTTTTTTTTTTTTTTAAATTTCAAGGGCTTGAGATGGTCAGGGAGGGAAGAAAGTTGCTGTGACCAGCTGAACGTCACATCAGTCCAAGTAGTCAAAACAACAGTACTTTACAGATATGAAACTGAAGCCTGCTTAAAATCCTCTACTCCTCTCCTCGGGCTGTTGCTGTAACGGCAATAATGGTGCTGGGAAATGAGCTGGACTGGGCAGCCCAGATCAGTCTGCCACTGCACACAGGCAGCTCAAAGCCAAGACCCTCCACATGACTGGTGGCAAGCATGTGCAGGCACCAAGCCTAGAAGGTAATCTCCTTCCCACAGCCCAGGGCTTGGCAAGATGCCTGGGTGCACTGAGGCCAGTGCCATCAGGCTACCTTGGAATCCAGCTCCACACCTGGTCACATTGTACGTTTCTCAAATCTCCCTAACAGATCATACTTTTACATCTTCTCTATAAGCATCTAGGAATGGTAATATCAAAATGAGACAGAGCAGGGGGACATTTTGCTGGAGCAAGTCAGTGTTTCTTGCAGCTTCCTATAAGGTCTAAAATTGGGAAACAGATATTCACATTTGCATTAATTCATCTAGATTATTTTATGTGCACTTTGACCATGGTAAAGTGTCTATTTCAGCAGGAACAGCTTCTGCCTCTTCACTGCAGGGTACTGCCATTCTTCACTGCACTGTCAGCTAAATTTTAGAGGTGACCCTGAATACTCTCCATAAGTTTCAGCATAAAGTCAGCCATACAAGCTCTTCACCTCCCACTACTTTCACCCTATCAGAAATGCCAGTGTAGCAGAAAAAAGCATTTGCACAGTGTCTGCACCCAGCAGATAGCACAGGGAGAAGGACAGCCACCTCCAGCAGAGGCACAGTAATGTCCTACACAGACATACCAGTTATCATGTGACCACTGCCAGAAGCTTGCTGGAGGCAGTTGAAAGATTAACTAAAATAAAGGATTTATACAAGAATCTGCCTTGGAATAACTGCACTAAATTGAAGGGATACAACTTGTTGGGTTTGTGTGTCCAAACATCACAAAACACACAGCCTTAAACAGTCACAAATAAAGAGCGACTTCAATTCTGACCTTATGCCGCAGGGATTCATTTTCTTCTTGTATGAGGCTGCTCCTGTGACATTCAGCTTCAAAGTTCAGAATGACTGGCACTGGTGAGAAACGTTAAAGAAAAACTCAAGGCAACAACATGCCTTGACTCTACTGAACTTCACAGCTAACCCTCACTGCCCATTTGCCTTAAAGACAGCAAAAGTGTCCAGTCCATACCATCAGAGAGAAATATTTGAGGCCAGAAGAGCAGTAACAATATTGGGCTATCACTACACACCGTTGTGAATGGATGCACCCAGACAATGGTCTAACAGGAGACAGCTCTGGACACAAGGTTGCACGCCTGTTTTGCAATATGCCATGTAACAAGATTTCTGACTGTTCTAGTCAGAAGCAAAGGGACGAGTTCAGTGTTAGCAGCAACCACAATCGTTTGTGCCCAGGGAACATAACATGTCATTAGATAATTGACTAATAACTATTCTAACATTCTCTGGTAAACACCAGCTTCCTATTAAGGCTTGGCCCTGAAATTACCTGAAAGCAACAGGTTCTGTAATATTGTACTCTTGGCACTAAGAACAGTGAGCATAACACTAGGGTAAGAGAGATTTAACCATTAGTTACCAAAAAAAGGATATGCATGCACTGAAATAAGACACTCAGAAAGTTGTGCAGAGACACAATAAACGTATCTGCCCACTGGCGTGAAAAATAGGTGGCAAAGGTGGGGTTGGAGTCCGGGGCAGGGAGGAAAGGCAGGACAAACCAATCCTTCCACTCTGCCTGGTTCTGCAGCTCAGAGGCCTGCTTGAGGAAGAACTCCTGCGCTTTGTCATTGCGGCCGGTCTGAAACACAACAGGAGCAGCTCTCACACTTCCAGCCAAACCACCCCACAGGTTCTTAAAATACTGTTTGTGAGATGAATGCAGTAGAAACTATTTTCACTACCCAAGAGAGCAAGTGGTTAGAATTCAGATTCATCTGGGAACAAAAGAATCTCAGATATGTTAGAAGAACCTCCCAAATACGCTTAATCCAACCTTCTTTCTACTCACTGCAGTCTTGCTTAAAGGCTGGGGAAATGAATCAAGCCAATTCTTTCCAGCTAAACCAGTGCACTCTGCATACTTACATAAGATGCAAGTTCACATACGTTACTAAAGTATACTTCAAATTGAACAGTTCCACCACAGAAGCACCCTGAAGAAATTCATCTGATGCTTTATTTGTTATAGTCACATTCCAAGTTAAGCTCAGGACAAGAGAACAAAACCACATTTCCAGAAATACGCATTAGATTTTGCTTCCTCCCCCAGCATTCATAATTTCAGATTTTCAATCAAGGTGGAAACATTACCCATAAGTTTTAAGAAACTGAGCACTCTTGACAGGTGCTCATCTACCCTGCTTGCCAGCGCTCTCCCATGTAATACATTCTCTTTGTAAGGCATCGCTGAGATATTTCTGCTCCAACTTGAGCTTACTATTTTCTGTTCTATTCAGAGTGGGGAAAAAACAGTTTTGCTTTCTCTCCCACGTTACCCTGTCCAAACTTGAAGCTGATTTCTCCCTCTTTCATCAACTAAACTCCAACTCTACCATCTGTTCTTTGAGACCCTCCCACTCACTTCGATTCCTAGGGAGCTGTGGTTCACGTAAGGACTGGCTGATTCCTGCCAGCAGGAACACAGACAACAATCCCGCTTCTTCATCCCTTCAGCTGCAACGAAACCCTTCTATGCAGCACCGCTACCTACTCAGCCACTCCCACCTGCACGGTATGGACGAGGTAGTATCGATACAGGCTGGTTTTCAGCTTGTTCACCGTCGGTCGGTACACGTCTTCCAGCCGGCTGAAGAGGCGGCGGTCCAAGTAGCTCCAGTAGTCCCGCAGCGCGGCCAGGTCATAGCTCTGCACGAACTGCTGCAGCTGCTCCACGATCTTATCCACCTGAGAGCGCAGGAGGCGGCCGCTGTCACACGAGGGCTCGCTCGGAAAACAGCGTCATTTTCGGACGGAAGGGAAGAGCCGCGCTTAGCCGACAAGACGGCAGCGCAGCAAGAGGAAGACGCGCTGCCGCTTCTTAGCGCCGTTACGCTGAACGCCATCTATTAGCGAGACGGGCACGAAGATCCCTAACGGCAGCCCGCCGCCCTCAGAGGACCGCACAGCGGTTCCCCCGCGGCCCCGGCTCCAGCCCCGCCCTCAGAGGGGACGCGGGGCCCAGCGCGGCCCCGGCTCGGCGGCGGTGCCTCGGGGGAGCTGCCCCCGGAGGGGCGCCGAGCCCCGCCGCCCCGCGGCCTGCCCACCGCCCCGCAGGGAAGGGGCCGCGGCCCCCGCTCACCCGGAAGCCCTTCTCCCGGTCCGCCTTGATCTCCGCGTCCAGCTGCTTCAGAGCGGCGGTGAAACCGCGGAACAGAAGATACTCGCGCACCAGCTCGTCCGTCCGCTCCGTCGCCGCCGCCATGGGGCCCAGCGGCGCTGCCGCCTCTGCCCGCCCACCGATCCACGAGCGAGGCGGTGCGGCGTCGCCAAGACTACAGCCCCCGGCGTGCCCTGCCCAGCGCAAGGCACGATGGGAGCTGTAGTCCCCGCCGCTCGCCCATGCGCGCCGCCCTCTCCTATACGCCCCACTCCCCCTTCCCTGCTTTCTCGCCCGCCTGCGGCCGCAGCCCGCGTTTTTCTCTCTCTCCCATTGGCCGCCGCCGGGCGCAAGCTGCGTCCCCATTGGCTGGCTGCCACGTGCGGCTCGTGTTGCTGGGCGCGGGCGGGCAGTGGCGCGGTGGTCATGGGTGGGGCAGGGCGGGTTGGGCGGGGAGCGCGGTGTTCGGGGGCGGCCGTCGTCGTCTGTGGGACCCCGCTGTCTGCTTCGTTGCCGCCTCGCCCCTCCTGGCTGCTGAAGGAACGGCAGGAGCGGGAGTTGGTCTTATCCATAGGTGATACGTGCAATTGGTAACGGGGGGCGTTGGACCAGTTTTGGGGAACTTCCCCTCAGTGGGCCGCAGGGAAGGGCAGGGCAGCGTGAGGGGATAGGGAAGCTGTCCTGTCCTCAGAGCTGCCCCGCTGGGCAAGGATCTGCGCTTCCTCGTGGTGAATTGGGGTAAGACGGTGCTGCAAAGGAGGCCGCTGTTCGGCGGCATCAGCCCCAGCATCTTGTGGGGATGGGTTATCCGACAGGGACAGGGCAGGAGGAGGGGTGCCACGGTTTGAGGTTAGCAGGAGATCAGGGTTTAGTCAGAGCCTACAGACAGCATTCCTCAGGCAGAAGCCATCACTTCCCACTGTAAAATGCACCGCAGTGCTCGTGCGTTCCCTTCGCCGTACCCAGCACGACCCCCCATTGCGTTGCAGCCGCCGATGGAGGCAGCGGGTGGTTGCGGTGAGCTCTGTGCAAGAGCACGGCCCGCTCCCCAGGCACAGCCGCAGGAGGTGGAGCCCCGCGCCGCACGCAGACGCCAGGCACAGGCCCAGCACCGCGCAGTGCTGGCCGGACTCTTCAGCAGCCTGCAAGAGACCGTGCTATCCCAGTCAGACAGCCCGGCCTCCAAGGTGCGGGGCGATGACTGCCTTTCTCCTATCTGTCGCTGTCGTAAAATGGCTTGAGGAAGGGATCTCAAAGATCACTTATTTTCACCCCCCTGCTGTGGGCAGAGCTGCCACCCCTTGGGTTAGGCTGCCCGCGGCCCCGTCCGACCAGCCCTTGGGCGCCTTTAGGGACGGGGCACACGTGGGAAGGGCACGTGTCATAGACATGTGCTTCGGTTTATCTGTTGGGATCCCAAAGAATGCCAGCATGTACATAATTTCAGTCTGGGCAGATTTCCTGGATTCTTTCTACTTTGCAGCTGCCAGCTCATCATGAGCAACTTGCTCAGTAGTCTCTGTGTCATGGGTTTATCATGTGGCTTGCCTGTGCTTTTCTTACGGAATTTTTGTAGTTTCTTCTTAGCTGTGTTTTGGATGTAAGTCAAGGGATCCTATGATTTAATGACCTTGATTTCACAGTGTTTTGGTAGGAAATTGGGAGGAGTGAGGTTAGGGACAGATCAAGTTAGAAGGAAAGCACTAATTCATTCAACATATAAGGTACATTCTGTATCCAATACACTGAGAGAATAAGATGGGGAGGGAACTCTCGCTCCTACTGTCCTCTACTAAAATAAGAAACTACTTCTCTTAAAAAAAGAAGAAATAAACAAAAGCACTACTAAAAAGTTGCATAGTATCCTGCTGAAGGTAAGGGAGGGAATGACTATCAGGAGTTTTCAGCTCTGCCACCAACTCATTTAGATTGGTCACTTTCAGTTTTCCAGAGAGGATAGTGGCTCTACAGGATCATACTTGTAAAGTGCCTTAAGATTCTAAGCATGCAAAATGCTGCTGTCTGGGGCTGAGGCCCTTACCCCCCATGAAGTTTGAGGTAAGAGTTCAGTTTGCTATACTCTGAAGGAGATGCAAGTTAAGCTGAAGTCACCACAAACTCAGAACTAAGGCTAAACAGATGCTTGTTTTGTCTCATCTGACTGGACTGTCTTAATGTACCAGTTCTTTGAACTACTCTTTGATAGTATCATGTGCCCAAGACATGACTTTGGAGGTAAGGTCCTAACTGCAAAAGTTTACTCCTAATTCCAGTGCTTAGTGCCTTGCTAAAGTATCTGGTGTGAAAGCTCTGCCAGAGAGACGTCCTGTCTGAGTTGCCTGGGTGGTCCCACTGATCCTACAAATCTAGGAGCAATTTTAAATGGGTGTGTTGAAAGGTATTGGCTATCTGTTCTTCGTTATGCTGCAATGAAGGAATGATCTACAGTGCTCAAGTTATTTCGGCTGCCAGCAGTGCAGCTGGAGTAGAACGTGGCAAGAGCTTCTCCTAGCAAAATTCTCAGGAGAGTTGAATTATAAAGTCTTACACCTAAAGCTGGTAGACGTCCAAGAGGACATGCTACAGCATGGTGTTTCTGGACGTGCTCCAAGAAGATAATGATCCAAACAAGAACAGTTGCTGGTAAAAGATGTGACTTAAGTAGCAAATGGCTGTGTGACTAGGCATTATGTACATGTACTGTATAACATATTTATATTGTAGAATATTTATCTTCTGAATTTAACTTTGCTCTTAGTTCTTTCTCCTCTTCATAAGGCTACAGGTAGCTGGTGAAACATCACAGTCATTTTCTCAGACACATGAAGATAACAGGGTCAAAATGAAGGAAAAAAACTGAAGAAAGCAACTAAGTCTTGTTGAAACATGAATTCAGTCAGAGCAGAGAGCAATCAGTTCTGTTTTCTTTTTGTGTTTAGTATCAGGTTTTGCGTAAGGCTAAGAAATATATCCAGGAGCTGGAGCAAACCTTGAGTTCTTTGCTGAAGATGAAAGGTACTGTATGCAAGTATTTGCCTCAGACAGTTTGTTAAGTAGAGGCAGATAGATGCGTGGCTGCTCCCATTAAGCCCAGCAAGCACTGTCCCTCCGATCCACAGCCATTCCCATCCCTCCCTGGCAGAGGAAGGACACAAAACTGACTTCTGCTGCCCCAAGCTGCAGGCAGGGTCCCCGCCTACCCCTGCACAGGCTGCATGCACAGGCTGGAGGAACAGGTGTGCTCCTTCCAGCCACAGACAGTATCAGTCAGAGCTGTCACACACCCTGCACTCCTCATCAAGCACAGCCAGAGCTGGAACTTCAGAACTGCAGGCTTTGGTCTGAGTTAGGGGGAAAGGAGAGAGAATCTGTTGAAAGTTTCCTCCCAAAAGTATGGTAAATGGAAGCCTTTAGTTGAGAATCTAGTTCCATAGGAACAGGTAAGAGATGCTGTTGTTTGTTTTTGTCAGTTTTGCTTTCAGCTTGGCAGGTTGTGGTCATGCACTCCATGCCCTCTCCAGTATGCCTGCTGCTCTCTGGTGCTGCTCACTCCTCTGGTGGCAACAAGAAGGATTGGGGGCTGATAGGTAGAGCCTTTGGACATATTTTTATGTCCCTTCACATATCCAGAATATGGTGAGCTAGAAAAGGCATTGCTGTTTGTGCAACTTGCACTTCCAGTGATTTGTATCAATTACAGATCATAATGCTTAGAACAAAGTCCTCTGAACCCACATCTTTGGATTACCCATAAAAGGCAGCCATAGGTAGGAGGAGTCATTTGGCAGAGAAATCTGAAGGCTTCACAAGCAGTGGGGTGGCTGAAGAGACTTTTGAAGTAAATTTCTCTTCATATTTACTTGCATATATATAAAATTCATACTACTGCTGAATCACAGAGTGGGTTGTCCAGGGTTTTTATGTGCAGTTTGCTCATAAGATGACAATCATGAGAAGTTGTATTGACTAGTGCTTGTTCTTGTTGGGACTTTTGATTTGCTGATTGTTTTTACCATCGATTCTGTCACACCAATGTTACAAAGGAGGACATCTGAGTTCCTCAACAATCAGAAGCTCCCAGTAGTGGTAGTGATGCTATAGGAGAGGCAGAGGTGTTGCATCTCACATCGCTTTTGCCTAATGAAGAGTTGTGACTCCTGAAGGACCATTTGTCAGGATTATTCTGCTTGATTGGGACTGAGGATGAGAGGGAAGCCAAAGGCCCCACCAGTGTGACAGTTGCCTTTCTGCCAACAACAGAGTCGTTCAGCCTGGAGGATGGGAACCCGTCCAGCCTGGAGGAAGTCAGGGAAGAATATGTCAAGAGGCACTTCAGCAATCACAGGTAAGGGCTTAAACCAATCAAGGGAAGATGATAATACTTTGCATTTGCTCCCATCCCAGTGCCTCTTAGCCTCTTTGTCATTGTTACTGAACTTCCAAGCAGAGGCCTTTCATCATGAGGAAAAGATGAAGAGATTTCTTGTGGACCCCTGTAATCTCACACAGCGCATGAACAGTGTTTGTATTTCTTTGCCTCCTATGCAGCTCAGCACAGACTTCTTATTTGCCTGCAGAGCAAAAGGATGGGGGAAAAGCTTGCTGGGAAGAGTGGCCCTGGACCCTGGAGTGACCATGACAAAGACATTATTAATCCAGTTAAGAAGTTGTTCATGTGGCTTTTTTTTTTTCCTGTGTGTTCTTTTCAGCACTGCGTCGCCCTCGGAAGCTGTGAGTGAGAGTGATTCTGCTGTCTGGTATTTGATGCAAGAATGTGAAAACCAAACAATGGAAGAGGACGGAAAGCCAGGATTTATCCAGTACCCAGACACTTCATCCCCAGATCTGGTGGAATTTGAACGGTAGGTGCACCCCAAGTTGTCTTCAGGTTTTTTTTCACCTGTTTGCATTAACACTGCATCCAATCATTGCTGTACATGAAGCCTTACAAAAGCCTTGTACCAGCAACTTTGATCCTGCTGGTGATGAAGCTGGAGCTGTGACTGGCACATGAATGGAGTCCCAGCATGGTATCAGCCCCCAGCTCTCTCTCAAACTCTCAAGAAAGAGAAAAAAAATATGTTTCAAGTGTGTCAGTCCCTGTGTGGATGTGCTTTACTGCTGTCCAGAGGCTTGTAGAGTGAGCTGCAACATGCCTGCAGTGGTTCAACAGGCAAGTGGTTTTTAACCCAGATGGAATGGGAGTTTGTTTGAGCAGCATGACTTACCCAGGTGTTTGCCCCTGTGTGCTTGTGGTATCAGTACCATTATCAAGTTCTGTCTTCACGATGGGGCTAAGTGTGAGGAGCACAGGAATTGCTGCACCAGATGAAACCTGCCAGTGGCTAGCTGTACATGTTCCAGGGGAGCTGCAGAACTGCAGGTAGGTAGATGTGGGCAGATATTTCCCCCTGCAAGTGATGGTTGTCCTGCCTGGTATTGGTATGGTCCCTGGAATCTGGGACACTGTTGTCCCTTCCAGAGATGGATGTTTAGCTCCTAGCACCTTGGAGTACTTGTTTGTAGGATCAGAGCAGTGTAGGACTGGAAGAAACAAAGGAAAATAATGCAGTACTCAACCTGCAATGGTCTGCAGAATAGCAATAGTCTGGAAGACATCCTCAATATGACTGAAACGCAGAGAGAGAGAGGAAAGGAACATAAGTGCTTATGAGTGTGCTACAGCCACAAGGTGCCGGTCTTTAACCCTCTTTAGGATTAGCCAAGTGCCTGACACAGGTGCTAAAAATCGGAGACCGTTGCTTTCCTCTCAGTGGTCCATGTATTTTAATCTGGGATTATAATGGTAAATTTTCTATTTTTTCAAATTTATTGGTATCTTAAAACCGAGTGTTCATCACATTCTTCCCCCTGTTCTCAAATGGCACTAGGATGTACTACAGGGGTCATAGTTGGTAATCATCCCAGCCTTAAGAATACGCAGTGTGGGAGAAGCCACAGCTATAGCTGGCATCCTCCAGAGCTTCACAGCCGCAAGTAAAAATGGAAACAATTTTTTCTTTTTTCTTTTTTTTTTTTTTTTTTTTTGCTTTGAACTGGTGCTTTTTTTAATAATTTTCCCCTGGATTATTGAGGTTTTTCATCAAAACGAGACCGCAGCTCTGCCAGCAGGTGGCAGCAGCCCACTGCTACTGTGCCTGCTTTTGCTCCTGTGAGATTTGGGGATGGTAGTAGTAAGGTATCATTTGAAAGACCTTGAAATGTGCTGACTAAGGACTTTCGGGGGAAGTAAGCCCTACTTCATCAAAGACTGCACACTGGGGCTATAAACACCTGTATTTCCCCTTCTTCACTGATGAGGTGGACCACAGCTTTTGCAGTGCTGTGTGGACTCCTGGCATTTACCCTGCAGTTTTATTACAGCCTGCAGTTGAACTGTAGCTAATTCTTCCTACAAAACCATCAGTGGTAATGGGCATGAAACAGCAGGGAGTCTTCTGTAAACAACAGCTTCTCAGTGATAAGTCTAATCATGTTATTTGGGCAGCATCAGAAATGCACTGAGCTTCTGCAGAGAGTTACAGTGATGAGACTACCCAGTATTCTAAATGTGCAAATGTACAAAATGTGGTCGTCTCCTTCTAGCTGAGAAGGAAATTGTTGACTCATGGTTTGTTCAAACTCAGTTTCTTTAGCAAAGCAGTCTAGTGATGATTCATATTCTGTTAGAGAAACTCCAGATCCTTCATTTGGAGCTGGATGTTCAGAATTCTTGGTGAGTGCAATAGCTGACCTAACAGTGCTTGCGTCCCTTACAATATTTTTGTGTCCAGCAATGGCAGAAAAACTTCAGAGCATGGAAATGGGAGTTTAAACACATTTGTGTTTGCATGTGGGGTTATTTTCAAATTTTCAATACTGGCTTACTAAAACAAATAGTTATAAAAAGATGGAGTTCTTTTTGGTTAATTTCTCGTGCAGCAGTTTGGCTAGCCAGGAAATGTGCTTAATTGGGATATCTTCCAAGGAGACATTCTGAGCCCAGTCAAACTGAGAAACAAGGATTGCTCGTTATGTTCTTCCTTTTTACTTCTTCGAACACATGTTCTTTCATCTGAGGAGCTCTAATCATTTAATAAACATAAAATAACCTTCAGTGCTACTTTCTAAAGTAGACATTATCATTCCTGGCTCACTGTGCCACACAGTACTAACAGAAGAGGCAAGCTCTTTCTGTGTTTGTGTCTTCAGCTTGAAATTGCAGCATTAATGTTGAATTGCTAGTTCCACTGCAGAAATCAGTTCACTCACAGAACTCAGTCTTGGGAATGCAGTCCCTCAGATGTAGGAACTGAGTTCCCATATTCACACTAATATTCCCATGTTCACACTACTCAGAGCTTCCAAGCCCATGGTAGTGCCTTTCTATCTGCATGTATAGTACCTAGCACATCAAGGTATGACCTCAGCCAAATGTTTTTAGAGCACTGCAATGCCAGAAGTATAAAAAGTGACTCGCAGTGCAAGAGCCTCAGGACACAAAGGCAAGTATGCCAAATTTTAAGAAAAGCCAGCGTGAGGTTTGCCTGTGTGATGTGTATGGCCTGCAGCAGCCTGGAGCTTCTATTCTGAGGCAGCCCTGCTGAGGCTCTGGCTGGAGCCTGCCCTTTGCGGATGAAATCTTGGCATAGCAGAGTTGCTAAACTTCTCTGATGGTTTTGGGCAATGTTCAGTAATTGTATGAGGTCTCTGAGGGAGAAGTCGGTGAAGTAGTTTTGAATCACTGCTACTCCCTCCTCCCCTGTTGATGGCAGCAATTATATCACAGTCTTTCTAGATAATAACTACAACTGTTTGGCATAGCTGCTTCATTAGAGAAGACTACTGAGGTGTCAATTCAATTGTTTAGCAACAAGTGATGCACAATAGTTGCTTATCTGCAAAAATCAATCACAGTTCCACAATTCTGAGGTATTGCTAATTGTATCCTTGGCTTACCTTCCAAATACCAAGCAGTCCTTCCACCCCAGGGAAGTTTCCTCAGCCGTTCTGCTGAGCTCAGGGTGGATCAGCACCTCTTCAGGAGCAGAACTCTGAGGGGCTCAGTTTCTCAACCTAGTTATGTACAGCGTCTGTTACCACCCACAGTGCAGTGCTTTGCAAAGGTTCCTTGCAGCTGTAGGTCTTCCAAAACCAACAAGAGAAACTGCATCTTGTGCCAGGGCAAAGGTCATATTCATCACATACTTTGCAATGGCAACTCAGCACTGACCATGGCTTGGGCCATGACCAGGTCAAACTTATGGCAGTTCTACTATCATAGGATGCCTTGTCCCTCCACACTGATTGACAGTAGTTGGATAGCTTGCTCTTGAGATGCTCCTTGTCCTTTCAGGTACCTGTATTTTTATAAGCACACAGTAGACCTACTGAGAGAGCATGGAATTGTTTCCGCTGAGGAGGTACCTCTTCCTGTGGTCTCCACGGCTATTTCACACCTCTGGCAAGAGCTTTCTGAAGAAAGAAGAGACAGCATCTTGCAGTACTGTAGCCAGAGAGATTTCCACCTGGGTCCTACGGATGCTTGCCAAGAGCCTGCGTGCGCTGATGGCGATGTGAGGGACAGTGGAGGTAACAGTGAGGAAGCCAGTGGTTCCTTGGTCTCCACACCAGAGGAAGTAAGTGCTCAGTAACACATATCCTCTGCCCCTAAAGCTCCAGTCCTCCAGTTGCTAATTGGCTCTGCAGCTTTTAATTAGAGAACACACAGTATTTTTAATTAAGTTTTCCCAAGACCACTTGAATGCAAAAGTGGAAACAACAAACGGCTTTTGAGTGAACGTCTTAAATTCTCTCTCGGTATGATAGACAGCAAGCTATAGGAGTGCCATGGCAGCAATCCTGGCATTCTCTGTTGAGCTGTGGATTCCTGTACTAAATAACAGTTAAATTAGCTCTAACTTGCAGTGGGGTGGGGAGCAAGAACAAGGGTTGTCCAGCTGCTGTCCTCTGCAAGTCTTCCATGCAGCACAGATTATCTGTATCCAGAAGAGATGCCCACATTCCTAAGACCTGTGTGTTTTTGCCTGGTCACTTGTTTCTTAATTTTTTGGGTTTTGATTTTTGCTTTTTTGTTTGTTTGTTTGTTTTCAGTAATCAGAGCACTTAGTAGCAAAGATAAAGTATTTGTAGACCAGTTCCAGCAATACAGGGCTGATGACTGCCTATTCCATGCATTTCTGCAGAGCCAAGAATTCAGTGACTGCGTAGATGGGAGCATGTGAAAAAAGAGATTAAATAACAGCCAACTCTCCATAAATTGTTCCTGATTAAGCATTGATTGCTTAAGCAACTAGCTGTTCAGAGAAGTGTACAATGTTATTAGTTGCAAGGGAAGGTCAGAGGTTCACCTTTAGCAGACTGTAAATTGCATTTACAAGCTCTTTTTGAGTCACAGGACAATTAGCAATTCAGACCACTTACTTGCTTAGGAAATGTGGTGGAGATGTTGCATGTACAGTACTTTCTGGCACAGAAGATGTGTGAAGAGCATGATGGCAGAGTGAACTAATGAGATCATTGGTCTGTCATATGGAGAATCCAAACTCCTTTGTAAGACAAGTCATATACTGGAATCGGATTTATGGAGAATGGCTGGTACAGCTGAGATCTCCAGCCATAAACAACACAACGGCCAAAGTCAAGTCTGGAAAGCACTGTTAAATTCATGTATTTACTGATGCTTTAAAAGATGTAAATCTAATTCTTGGAAGCTGAAACACAGGGAATAGACTAATCTTGTGTTTTGAGTTATGAAGTAGTTTCTCCTTCTTATTCCTGTATCTGCAAAACCCTGTAGATTTCTGCAGAAGGAAACATTAGCTGTTAAATGGAAAGAAAAAAATATTGTACTCCTTAAGACTTCATTATTAAAAACTATGCCCTAGGTAGAACTCTTTAAATGGCTGGATATGCTGACATCCAAAATGTTTTCTGTGACAGGTAATGTTTGAAGACGCGTTTGATGTTGCTGCTGGTTTCCTTGAAACAAATGAGACACAGGGATTGTCTAGCCAGAGGTAAATTACAAAACCTACCCTTTTGCTAGATAGAGTAACTCAATAGCTGACAGTGCTCCCCAGCAAGTTTGCCGTAGAGTAAGTCAGTAGCTGAGCGTTCTCTTTTGTGCCTAACTTTTAGTCAGTGGTTAAAATAGTAGCATACAGCAGTTGTGCTCACTGTAGTGCTACCTTTTAAGGTGTACGAATGAAATGATGAATAGGCATTCACAACAGAACAGGAAGGTTAGCTTACAGGAGTGCCCAGTAACTTTCAGATAACGAGGCAGTCTTAGTAAATGATTCTTCCTGGAAAGTCTAGGAAGAGTCCTGGATTCTGGATAAATAAACTCTACTTTGCATAGCTTTCTGTCTTTTCAAATTACAGGATTTCTAATGTTTTCCTTTTTTCTCTCTCTCACTTACAAGGTCTGTGATGACCATAAGACACTGCCTGGACAATTAATTAAACTCTCACTTAATGAGACAAAAATAATCTTGTTTTTTTCTTTATCATCATCTCTCTTAATCTTCTTCAAGTACCCTAATTTCATCAGAAAGAGATGATCAAGCTGAATTGTGGTTGGCTTGAGCAGAAAGGTCCAAGAAACACAAGGGGGAATCGTTTTGAACTGAGACAGGGGAGGTTTAGGTTAGATATTAGGAGGAAGTTTTTCACACAGAGGGTGGTGACGCACTGGAACAGGTTGCCCAAGGAGGCTGTGGATGCCCCATCCCTGGAGGCGTTCAAGGCCAGGCTGGATGTGGCTCTGGGCAGCCTGGTCTGGTGGTTGGCGACCCTGCACATAGCAGGGAATTGAAACTAGATGATCATTGTGGTCCTTTTCAACCCAGGCCATTCTGTGATTCTGTGATTCTCTGCAGGTCAGATCACAATTACCTAAGAAAGAACATGTCAGATACAAAACTAGCACTGCCTTTGATTTTCCCAGTAGACTAAAGAAAGAAAAGGTTTTCTCTTCAAGAAGAAAATCACTTTCTGATTCATCTCTTACATATTCTTGCTGCTTAGTCTTGGTTAGATTTTTTTTTTCTCTTTCCAAATAGTGTTTTAATTTTTTTTTTTTAAATCCAGCTACTTGTTTTTCCATATTTAGAGAATTCTTTAATGTGAATCTTTTCTTCTTCACTGTAATTCTACAGTGCACTTCCAGAACAGCATGAACAGAAATAAGATTGTTCTGGCTGTTCATCAAAATATGTTTATATTGTAAAGCTTAACAAAACATGTATCCATTAAATTACATTTATTAGGTCATAACTGCTGTTTGTTTTTGAAACAAGGAAAAGCAAACTTTGTTAACACCGCAATTGTATTGGCATCATCTGTGCAGTCTGGTTTAAGCCCCAAATTAGATTAATATTTCAGTAGTCAGCATTTTTCATGTGCCCTGCTTTTTTTCTATCACCCTGTGCTTTATAGTTCAGGACAGAGGTGTGGTGCAGAACTTTGTAAGATCCCAGGGAGAGCATAGAGGTGAGGTCTAGAGTGAGTATCTGATCTTAGTACCAAAGTTACCCATCACCTGAGTACAAATTTGCCAGTAAACAGCTGATGTGTGATTTTGTGACCAAAAACTTTACAAAAGAAGGCAAAGTTGCTTCTTGGAACAACCCTACAAAATACACTGCCACATGGCCATTTTTGTTCTCCATTAAGATGCATGTGTACCTTTCCCTAGAACAGCGTTATCACAGCTGTAGTGTATTAGTGGATCTCTGTTGTGGTAGTGGTTTTTTATACTGGAGTTCTCAGTTCTTTGATATCTTTTTGCACTTGTTAGACAGTATTTCCTCATTACACCTCCACTCCTTCCTGTCTTTTTCACCTATTGTCTTTCTTGTCAGATTTGTCATGGAAACAATTTAAGTATTCTATAATTTGTAAGTAAAATGTGAAGGAGAGAAAGTAAGGAGGAGGAGGAAAAGAGAGAGGGAAGAGGAAATTAAATATAATTTCTTGTTCCATTTTCAGTTCTTCATTTACAAGCGGCATTTCTGAAAATTCAGAGGATGACCACAGACTCTATCTGCAGATCACTGACTTCCTAAAAAGCCTTTTCTTTGCTAATACACACTTCTGCCAGGTAAGCTTTCCAAAGGGTTCCTTACAGAAGGAGCAGTGTATTTCTGTCACTGTCAGAAAGAGATTTCTTTTGCTTCAGACCACAGTGTCCAGAATCATTAAAATAAGAGCTTGGGGTTTATTGCTTCAGATGTCATTCTGCAGGTCCATAACGCACCCTTGGCCTCTTGATTCTGAACACAGTGGGATCACCCTGTGCTTTCTGTTGGTGCCAGCTTCCCTACCCTGAGCGCTTGTTTGGCAAGCTTTGAGAGTAGGGTAATTATGCTCTTGAAAGAGAACAGCTCTTAAAACAGAGCAGCTGCTGTGCTGTGTCTTAACTTCAGCCTACTGGTGCAGATTCGCTGAGCCAGAAATCATTGTGTTTGCAGTGTTAGTCCTCCTGTTCTTGTCCTCTTGCCAAGAAGGTGTCTGAGAACTTGCACATGGATACAGGACCAAAAAGGAGAGATTACTCAGGAAGAACATGCTTATTTTGGCTCAGATTGTGCCTCTAAAACGGCCACTGTTTCTCTATGTTCTGCTATCACCTAGCTTCCACCCAGTCCGTTACTTGAGCGGATTGTCCTTTAAAGAAAATTGAATATTTGTGGTGAGGGATGGTTGGGAGACACCAATCAAACAAAACCCAAAACAACAACACAAAGAACCAGAAAACAGTGTTGCACCGCTGTCTAAATCTATCGCAAAACGATTTCTGCATCTCCTGCATCTCCTACAATCTCCTGGAGACCTTAGCACTAAATGAGGTGCTGGGAATGACAGCAGGCATAGCAAAAGCTATTAAACAGGAGCTATTAGAGTAGGACTCTTCAGCAAAAATGTCTGGGGGTGACATGAGAAAATTTTGATCCTAAATGATTTGAATTTGGTACACAGAATGATGATCCACTGCCTCTAAACATCAGAACTAGACAGCACCCAATGAAGTGAACAGACAGTATATTAAGAAGTTGCAGATTACCAGAGTTAACTCCCCAGGGATGAGTCGATTGACGGTTAATAAATCTGGATGAAGATTCAGATATAATTTCATATGCAGAACACCCTCACAGCATGGTGTGCCAGAATTAAGGAGCATGTATTAGGGAGACAGAGCACATTGCATGCAAAATGCTTGCACTTTTTGTTTTAACATCTACTCCTGGTCATTGTCAGAGACCAAGCACTGATTTACACAGCCATTTGGTCTGTAAATAACTGCTCTGCATAAAAACAGGGTTCTTTCTGTGTTCATATAAATGACTGTGAAATGAAGATGCCTAGAAAAGAAAGAATGACAAAATGCATGTTTTCCAGCTGTGAATGTCTTCCCTGGCTAAGTGCTGCTTTTGTCCTCTGCTTGGTGCTGTATCACTGTGTGTGAACCTAAGCCCATCTTACAGCTCTCAGATAAAGTGGTGTAGGTGGTAGTGAAATGCTACAAATTGGAAGCTGAGCACTTTTTTTATTCAGGAACTTTGAATTGTCTGTGATAAAACAATAAAAAGGGAGTGTGAGCAGAATTTACCCAGACTAAATAGTACTGATAATGCAAAGATCACAATCTGTTTTGGTTTATATAACTGTGGTACAGCAAATCTAGAGTCCTGCCAAGAAGCAAGAAACTTTGACAAATTTTTGGTTTTGAGAGCAGAAATTCAGCTCTACCTCTGAGCAAATAGTTTGGAGACAGTTATGGAAGTGCAGCTGAGTGTCTAGGAAATATTCCAGCTAGCTTGAAACACTACCTCAGGCAGCAGCAGAGCTCAGCATAGGCTACACAACTCAACCCAGACACTGGGTTACTCAGCGCACTGAAGACTCCTGGACTTGTCCTGAGTAGGAGAGCTTCTTGCTTACCTTGTGTGTGTAACCAAATCCCTGCAGACCACTCTCTCGATGCAGTATTGATACAGGTACATTTACCCAAGAGTTTGGGCAGTGCTGGTGGTGTAATTATCCCAAAGGTTAAGTGGTGTCCTGATGCACAGTGCACACACATGGTAGATGATGATATGAAGGCAAGCAGCAGGTACTGTACTTAGAGGCAGGGCCACCAGTGTGTGCCCGACTGATGTGTGAAAGGCAGCCTCTGTCCCTTCCATCTGCAGAGCTGGTGAGGTAACAGATTTTCTTGTGGTGATTACATGCCAGTTCCGTGTTAATGCCATTTGAGATTAACTGTCCAATTACAAAGCACTGTTGTTGGATTGTGTACATTTGCTGTTTCATAGTTTACAGACGCAAACACTTCTCTGTCCTGAACTTTGATTGCTCAGAGCCACTTATGCTCTGTAAGATGGTCAAAAAACCCATTTCCCTCTGTTGCTAAAAGAGCAGCAAAGCCTGAAGACAGTGCAAGTTAGAGGCTCAAGGAAGCTCACATATCCTCAGAGCTTGTTATTTGGTGTGCTTGCTACCGTAGTCTAAATGATATAGATGGAGGCAGGGTGAAGACCTGTGATTTTAGAATGAAATTAGTTGAGAATCTGAGACATTCTTCATCAGGCACCACAAACAGTTGACTGAGAGGTGCTGGTTGCTGATTCAGAGCAGAAGCAGGGCTCATGGCACTTTGAAACACAGTCAACTCTTATGTTTTTAACCTTACCTGGCTTTGGGATGGTTTCAGGAAGAAGATCTTCAGTTTGATTATGAGACTGTAATGCTGAGGTGCACGGAGACCTTTGATGATGAAGATTTATAAGTAGTATTCCTGTTTGCCAATGTTTTGCCAAGCATCACTGGATACAGCAGGCATGTGAAGAGATTGTGCCTCTTTCAGAGGAACACCTCTCCAATCAGAATGGGGAAACACTGTGTTGTGGTTTGTTATTGTTGACTTCCCTTTCCTCATCAGTGCTTCGTAACTTACCAGTTGAGTAATTTATACTTTTAAACGTTTCAGGTTTAAAATATTTATAAAACCTAAAGGAAGAAATATTTTTCTCTCTGACTTTTTAATGCTTAACCTCATTTCACAAATACACTGAAGCAATTCAGTGACCTTGCCTAATGTGAGCTGTGGAAGAGATGCAGAGAGGACATGGCAACCTACGCACTCCAGACTGCTACCTGCAAAACTCACAGTGTGCCTCCCAGCATCCTGGCAGTGACTGCTTTCCTCTACAATTCTTTAGCCTGGGCTGGAAACAACAGAGGAATTTCTTCACAGAGAGTGACATGAGGCTCTTCCATATCTGTGAGGACAACTGTAGTGGCCACCCACTCCCAAATCACTCAGAGAGATGCAAATACAATCACAAACTCTGGATTATTTCTGTAAAGTGTGTAAAGTCGAAAGAGAACAAAGCCCCCTGTGCTGTTCTGCTGCATCTTGTTCTTTGATGAGTAGTACTGCTCAGATGGTGTCTTGAAATTAAAAATGCATTGAAGTTAAAACAGATCATTCACATCTCTGAGCTGTCATTAGCGGCTTTCTGCTGACTTGGCCAGTGTTCCAGCAGTGGCTATATTGAGGTCTCCCTCCTCCTACTTCCCCTCTCATTTTAAAGTACCATGCATATATTGCTCTGGAGGGCCTGGGTTTTGGGACACGTGCTAGTTGAAATATGTACAGGTTTTTCAGGGGGTCTGAGGTCAGATCATTCTTTCCCAAGGGAAAGAATACAAGAGACAAACGTGCAAATGTTTGCATGAAATATCCTGCGTGCCCTTCCTTACCATTCTGTAGTTTGGTAGGAAAATGTGTTAGTTTTTCTCAGTGTGGAATATACTTTGTTTACAGCTTAAAGCGTCCCTTTCAGATTTTACAGCTTGCTGCCATCTCCAGTTCCATTTGCCACATGATATTTGGTCAGTTTTGTTACAAAAACAAGCCTTTCACTTTTCCACCTCAGTTACTGCATCAGTTGAGGTCATACTTGGCAAACATGTAGGAGAACCATGTGAGTAGATAACACTGAAGGATTAACAACCTTATTTTTATTAGCTCTCAATCCCCATGCTTTGAAGACCAATCCAGGACAGAATTAAACAGCAGAAATATTGCATTTTCAATCGACTTTCAGCCTGTCATGTACCAGAGGAAGCAGTTCTAGGTGGTCACCATGGTATGTAGATGCATTCCCTTGATTATCACATGGGACAGCTTTTGATGCTTCACCAGGAGAATTTTAGGCTTGAACACAAATATGATCAACAGGTGTGTTCAGGTAGTGTGAAAGTAAGAAATAACTATTCCAAAAGGTAGCAAGTACTGTGGGAGGCATTTGTGTCATTATGGAGAGGATGAGGGACACATTACTTTGGTTCCTCCTGCGGCATGACCAGTTTGCAGGATGAAAGCCTGTGTGACATGGGAAGGCAGCCTTCTCGTGCGGAGCCAGCGCCACCCAGCCAGAGGCTGAGCTGCTCTGGTGTGCAAAGGCTGCTCTGCCTTGGCAGGGAAGCAGCCTTAATTCCTAAGCATAGTATTGCTGTGTGTGCACTGGCACCACATTGTTCAGTGCTCAGTGGTTGGTCTTGAAACTTCTTATGAAAAAGTCTGGAAAAGGCCAGCAGGCTGCTGGGGCAGAGCAGTGGGAAGGAGAAGGAACTTGAGGCAGAATGGCAGCAGGGAGGGGGCAATGGCAAATCTGAAAGCAGCCATGAAAGTGAGGCCATTGTGGAAGCAGACCTGGCCGAACCGGACAGAATGAGACCAGGTGCATTACAGCTGTGCTGTAGCACAGCAGCTTCTAATACACAGTCTGATCCAGTGGTTGGCAGCCCTGCCAACAGCAGGGGAGTCAGAACTGGATGATTGTTGAGTCCCTTCCAACCCAAGCCATTTTATGATTTTTATCATCACAACACTGTGAACGTAACAGAGCAGCTCCCATCACTGCCCAGTTTACGTCTTGTTAGAAAGCAATGAAAATGAGCTGGTCCAGAGCCAGTGTAACTAGGTACGAGCATGTGTCCTTCACCAACTCTCTCCAGCTTGAACAGCAGGATTTGCTGCCTGCGCTTTGGCACTGTGTGCACCTCTGTAAGCTGCAAGCAGGATCACCCCACGCTGCCTGACTTCAGTACGTTTTGAGGAGTAAACAGGAGCAAAGGGTAACACGGGTGGCAGGCAGCTCGCTGTTCCCAGGCAATCCAGAAAAGCCTTCAGGTATTCAGCTTTGCACCTGACGATCCCTTGATCTTTCACTTATCAAGGAGCAAATAAACAGAAGCTGCATCCTGTGGTGCAAAGTCAAAGCTGTTTCCAAAACTCAAGTGGCCGTATGCAGCTGGCGGGGAGTGGTAATCCTGCGGCCTCACCCCTGCCTACTTCATTTTAGAATTTAGACATGTCCCTCTGAGTTAAAAAAACAAACAGACGTATAACAAACACACCAAAGGAGAAATTTCAAAGGGCAGTTAATAGCCTGAGCTTGAAACGGGGACAGAAATAGCTTCTGAGAAATGCCTCGAGCCTCAGCAGCACCAGACACAGCACTGCAGTCTGTGCCGCCTGGGCTTTGGGCTGTGCTGCAATGAAGGACAGGCCCTACTCATGCTGTGCCCCAGGGAGCTGGAAACCAAGCAGAGGAGGAGGGTGCAGACGTGGCAGCAGGGTGGAAGTCCAAGATGTGGTCATGGTGCCTCATTCATCAGCTGCCATCCTGTTGCCATTAAACTATGCCTGCAGCATATGCCGGATCTGGCCAGCAGCAGCCTGACAGGACATGGGGACAGGGTGATGCAGATTAACTTACGCTTTCTCACATATGCTATGACACAAGTAAATCTGAGAGTGATGTGTAAGACCAGGGCTTATCTGCTAGATCTCCTGGGGATGTAGGCTATCAGTAAATAAGCTTAGAGCTGTGGGTGACACTGTGGAGAATTAAGGCAGTGTCAGAGCTGAGATGCCCAGGACCTCTGTAAAATCCCACCTGGGCAGGAATCAGGCATAGTTAAATATGCAAATCTTTTTTTGTTGTTGTTGTTCCAAAGACATTCAACCACAGACCTGAATGGAGGCCCTCAAACTTGCTAGTAACAGCAGACTACCAAATTGTTTCATCTTTGAGGATCCCAATATACACAACAGACTGATCTGTAAACACTTACTCCCAGAGACAAGAAAGCAATACGGAATCATAGAATTATAGAATCGTTTAGGTTGGAAAAGATCCATAAGATCAACTCCAGCCATCACCTAGTACTACCAAATCCACCACTAAACCATGTCCTTGAGTGCCATATCCACACATTTCTCAAATACCCCCAGGGATGGTGACTCCACCACATCCTTGGGCAAAACATGCCCCTTAACAGTAAAAATAAGCAACATACCACAAAGCTGGGACCAAACACCCAGATTGTAATAGGCATGAGGAACAAAGGGTTTTCATTGAAACCACACAGATTCTGCTGAGATGAGTGGGTTAAGAAGAAACCATATCACAGCCTTCAGCTGTATAGTGCAGAGTACAGAGACGATTGGGTCAGACTTTTCTGAGAGGGAAACAGTGTTGAGGCAACAGACACAAGTTGATGCACTGGAAATTCCAGTTAGACGTGAGGTAAGCTGTTTCTCACCACAAGGGTGGTCAAACACCAGAACTGGTTGCCCAAAGCAGCTGTGACTCTCCAGCCACAGTTCGACTAGGCACTGCCATGTGCCACCTGGTCTGAGAGGAAGGGCTGGCCCACATGACTTCCAGAGGTCCTTTCCAACCTGAATTCTCTGTGATTCTTTGAATACAACCTGCCACTCACTATGGAAATCAACCCAAGAAATATCACTCATTTGCATATGTTATTTATTTTTCCCCAAATATATTGAAGTATAAATCTCAGTGCAGGAAATGACAGCTTAATGCTACAGCAATGTTATTACATATCAGCAGCAGCCAGCACCATGAGCAGTCACATTATTAACAGGTTAAGGCTATTTGTGCTGAGAGTAGAAAACAGCAAGAGTCTGTAGGCTATTTTCTGGAGAAGTGGCTGTCACTACACAATCACCAAACCAAATCAGGGACGGTGGGGACACACAGAGCTTAGCAGTAGCAGAGGTATGTCACACTACAAGCAGAAGTTTTGTCCTTCATCTCTGATGAAGATTCCTTCATCTCTGTGCAATTTGGTACCCTGGGGAAGCTGGCTCCCAGCATCCCAGCTGGGATTCCTTTTAGTTAAGCTGGTTATTTCTAACAGGTCAAAAACCTAAGTGGAGTCTGTAGATACCTCTGCAGTGTAAGTAAGGAGAGGCAACTTCAGAAGACAATTCATCCCATTGACCTTAGATGCTGCTTTTCCAACATCATTCATTTGATGTTGGAAGCATCACAGGAGTGAGAGGAGTCATGGCCTACAGGTGCCCACTTCTTCCCTTTGGCCAGGAAAAGGTGTAAACCACAAGCTGAGAGGTGAACATTGCCATTACAGATGATTAAGATGATTAAGGTGGAGGGGATAAACCTCAGCCCAAAGGATGCATAAGAGCAGTAGAGATGCCTTCTCCTGTGTCCCCAGGAGCAGTCAGAACAGGGGAAAGGAAGAGCTCTGCTTCAGCCTAACCACTGTTCCTCAGGGTCCCCAAGTCTCTGTGCAAGGAAGGAAACTAAACATCCTTCCCAGGCATTTCCCAAAGCAGTACAGTGTTCTTCCTAAAGGTGGGCAGGCAGGAGCAGGGAGAAGAAAAATGATTCCCTCAAGGTCACCAGTGGCCAAGGCACTGGAGACAGTTAAGAAAAGAAAGGCATTGTCATTCTCTTGCTCCAGCTCAAATGATGGGGGCTGCAGACATGTTTTTCATACCTCTGCTTGAGGGAAGAGTTTACCTTCAGGCCTGGTGCTTATATCCTTGTATCAGCATCTATCTCAGAGTCTCTTTCTAAGTTTGCATTAACACTGCTTTCTTGTCCAGCAGCCTTCAGTTCATCCATTTTCTTGCCACCAGGTACTTTTTTGGGGCAAGCAGGGAGATACCGAAACCAAGAGACAGCACAGTATTTAGTGCCTATGCCAAATGGAAGATCATAGACCTTGGCAATGAGCTGGGAGTTATCCACCTCTCCCTTGTGGCTGTGTTTCCATGCCAGGAGACCCCGCTCCTCCCGTGTCCCTGTGAAAGCAAAAAGGAAATTGTTGTATTTCAAACACTCACGTGGGTGTTCTGAACATATGACTGCCTTGTGCACTCCACATTTGGCTCTCAAATCACAGCAGACCAACCACAATGTAGAGATTCCCTGCACTTAAACCCTTCTAGCTTCAAAACTCTTAACAAAATCTAGCTACTGTGCTGCTAGACAATACCTATCTTCCTGCAGTGTCTTACAGTCTCCTCCACTGCTTCTCATGGGAATCAAAGATACTAAGACAGGTTTTCAGAAGCCATGGGGGATGGAAGAACTATTCAAGGGGCATTGTAAAGTGCTAGAAAAGCAAAGCTGGGTGTTAACTGCTCAGATATCATGAGGTAAGAGAATTAAGTTTAGCTAGCAATTGCTAAATGTCTGTAATTGTTGCAATGGCTAAGTCCCTCTTGGGAAAGGGAGTGAGCACATAAATTCTGCCTGGAGGAGCTGAAGATCAAGGGTACAATAAAATTAATGAGCCAAAAGGATATTGGCTTTTCAAAAAGTCTGAGATAATAAAGGAGTCTGGTTAACAGAGTGCCCTTCCTGCTCTCTTTCTGTAGAACTTCCTCTCCTATTGTTAGGCCATCCCTCCCTAGGCTTGATGAAAATCAGGGAGTCTTTGATGGCTGTGAGGGGCAGCTACTGGTCCTATATCATATCTTTGGTCATCAGCCCTTCCTGCTGCTTTCCACTGATGTGGTAGCAGTTTGACCTCAATTTCAGCAGCTTTCATAAGCAGGCATGCATCAACATATTGCCTATCTGGAATCATAGAATCATTAAGAGTGCAAAAGACCTCTAAAATCACGTAATCCAACTGTCAGCCCATCCCCACCGTGCCCACTAACCATGTCTTTAGTGCCACATCCACACGGTTCTGGAACACCTCCAGGGACGGTGACTGCACCACCTCCCTGGGCAGCCTGTGCCACTGCAGCACCTCTATTTCTGAGAAGAAATTTTTCCTAATATCCAACCTGAATCTATAAGCAGGGAAGAAATATTTCTTACCATGCCCTCCCTCCTGCAGTTGCCTTTCTCTCTCCTTTCAACCAACAACATGGCTAGCATTTTACGCAAAAGACATTTTTTACTGAATAACTTTTCCTCAAACTAGGTTATTGAAAAACTAGTCTTCTTTTTTTTTTTTTTTTTTTTTTTAAATGAGCTACTGTTTTGGAACCAGCAAGAATTCCATTGATATCTCTCCTGTTCCTCATTCCTCTCCAGGAGTTCAGTGACATAGAGTTTCATGATTGCTATCACAGCTTCTACCCATAGAGCAGTGCTAATGAGGACAAAAAATACCGAGTGACAAACCCCAGGGCAGATACAGACTTGTAGCTTAGTTCATTTCAGCAAAATCCTACCTGGAATGGTGTTATCAAGGATAAACCCCAAGAGCCCACCCACAAACATGCCAGTGGTGAGAAGCACCTGGATCACCTGGTCCAGCTGGGTGATTTCTAGAGGAAAAACAAAGACACACATATCAACCAGCAACATATTCAGTGCCAAGAGGCTGCAAGATGCATGCTTGTTTAAGCAAGACCCGCAAATCCCCATAAAAACAGAGCCTAAGATTTGGCAATGCAAGGGAGGCATCGGAGCAGAGGACAAGAGCAGCATTCCCGATGCAATAGACAACAGTCAAAGCACAGATTTCAGAATTTTGTCTGGAAAAAAATGTGTTTAAAAAGATTGCTCTGGCTTTGCTTAAGTTCTATGCTACAGAAAATTCTTCCAAAATGTGCTGTCACTTCTTACCTGTTTCTAGCAGCATATTATTTTTGTTTGCCCAGTTGGGAATTGTGAGTCCAGCAAACACAGAGAATCCAAATATAAAGATGTTTCTGGAGGAGTTCATATCTGTGTACTGCACAGAGAAATTGTGAACGTTAGTATTGCCAGTTTGGAATGGCCAAAATCCATGGATTCATTAATTCATTAGTGAGCCATGCTCAGATGTACACACAAACCCAATGACAGCTGTTAGAACAAAGTTCTGCTTAACCAAAATTAGCAGATGATTTCAAACATGTATGGCATACACTAGAAACTCTATGTGGCAGACAGTCAGGTGGCCAAGCACTCTGTGATCTCCAGCTTAGACACCAGGAAAAGGTATGATTCAGCCATAGCCACTGGCAGAACTGGAAATTAAACCTTTTACTGAGACTCTCGCCCAGTTTGAGACCTTTACTCAAAGAGCCCTCCTCTAAATGCACATTACTATAGGACATGGAGAAAAATCATCCATAGGAGCAGCTACAGAAAATCCTCCCTTGCTTATAACAGCTTCCTTCAGATAAACTGTGAGACAGGGATGAGCAGCCCTGACACTGCTGGGACATTAACCAGGTGCCTGCAAGCCCTGTCCCAACCAGGAACCTCTCTTTGTGATTTGGTCTCTGCATAACTGCCCTCATCTTCACCCAAGGAACTGCCAGTACAAATGTTTATATTTGCTGCAGCCCAGCTTAAGTTCTATCTCAGGCTGGTGAGAATCTGGCTTGAAACCAAAATAACCTTCCTTAGGAATGAAAAGGTGCTCACACAGCTGTTACCTGCAAATTGGAAATCCCCACTGCGGTGATAATGCCAAACATCACGAGGAACAGGCCTCCGATGACAGGAGTGGGTATGCTGGCAAGCATTGCCCCCACTTTCCCAAAGATGCCGCTCAGGAGCATGGCACAGGCACCAGCAATGATCACCATGCGGCTCCCTACCTGGGGTGGGAGGAAGAGCAGGCAGTGATGCACCAGTGAGCGCAGACCTGCCAGGCAAGGCTTGCAACCAAAGCACGCAGTGGCACATTCGGTTCCAAGCTTTGAGTTCGGATGGAAAGCTCACACTGTGGAAAGTCCCTGTAGCTGTAGATTAGGAAATATTTATCGTAATAAGCACCCTGAGAACAATCATGGATCCACACCTATTTGCTTTGTTATCCTCTTCTCCATTGCTATCGTGACATAACAGTTCACTGTGAAACAAAAAGCACATTGTTAAGAGCACACTAATCCCCACATACAGCTCTGCTTTCAGTGCAGTGTAGAAATGTTGTGGCATACCCACAGGCTATTCCCAGATAATTCACTGAACACTTCCACCAGAGGTTAGAGTTTCCACTTCAAAATGGCTTTCAGCTAGGTGTCCTGCACCAAGCAATCCTCTCTCTGTGGACCAAGATGTAGAAGAGCAGAGCTGGCCAGCCTGTCTGCTTCCATCCTGAGCTCTTGGATCTGCTATATCCTTTCCATGATCAATACCAGCTTAATAAGAATTGGGGAAGTATCTTGGTCTGCCCCTACCTGCCATCACACACCAGCTTCAGTCAACCCACCTTTCTCTCATTCTTCCCTAGGAAGAGCCAGGGAGTCATTCTTAGTCCCACACTACAACAATGATGGGATGAAGCAGCAAGCTTCATGCAGAGCTGTTAGAGTGTGTGAATAGGAAAGAAAAAGAGTATCTGACAAACAAAGGGATGAAGGAGACATTTACAGATTACAGAAATTAAACACAAAAGCAGCAGTATTTGTTAGACTTTCAATTCAAGATACGCTTTGCCACACCAGAACTTGGACAGCTTAGAGAATCACACTAAGATTTACAGCATTCGTGTCTTAGGCAGAGAAGTTCTGTAATCCTCTGCAAACAATTTATAATTCAATTAATTATTTTAATCCCTCCACTGAAGTATCTGAAGAATGCCATTTTTTTTTTCTGCAAGGGTTTTTTGCAAATGCTTTCAACCAAAACACTGCCAGTAACTGGTACTGTCCCTTTTTAATTATTACTTAAAATACTTTAAAGGCACATTTTTATGAAATACTAAGTTTTACTTGATTGTGAAAGAAATGAGTAAGATTTGGTGGGGAATTTCAAAATAAAATCATGCACTGCCTTCAGGTGCACTTTTTATATTCTTTGGCTTAAAACCTTGGGACAGTATTATCATCAAAGCAATAATTTAATAAAAGCCACAAGATCTGTTTGTTCCAAGATTAGAATGAAGCTTCAGATTCTTAATTTGCTGAAATTGTCATATGTCAAATTACCCAATAAATGGAGTTGGCCTCAAAGGCAAATTAACTAATCCACTGATAACACAACTGGGAGCATTTGCTTCTAAAGCTTCCAGTTTAGAGTTTGTTTCAATTATGTCAGGAGAACAAGAAAACTGGTTTTTGTTCTTAAAGCTGAAGAAGCTGCAGTTTCCCAAAATCTTTATCCCTCTTTGAAATTCTTTCTTGGAAATGGGAGCTCAGTGATGGCACACTGGGTTTCACCCAGTATCTCAAACATGGGTGCCTGGTGCCATTTAAGATGTTGGGTCTTGGCAGTTTCTGACAGCCTCTCCTTTGCCTGTGGATATCTGAAAAACTCAAAAAGTCATTTCAGGTGGTGCTGGACACCTGTGTTTAAGCAGACAAAACAAGTCCCTTGCGCTTCCCTTTGTTATCAAAAAATATGTTTCCCATGTAAAACAAACAAACAAACAAAATGAAATCTGCCTTGTAATCTCAGCAACCCTAACTATCCTGATTAAAGAATGACTGAGATAGAAATTCTTCACTCAGGGGGCGGTGAGGCGCTGGCCCAGCTGCCCAGAAAGCTGTGGATGCCCCATCCCTGGAGGTGCTCAAGGCCAGGCTTAATGGGTTGCTGGGCAGCCTGAGCTGGTGGTTGGCAGCCCTCCCCATGCCAGGGGGGATTCTGTGAGACTGTCTACTGGGCTCTTAAGTCTGAACAAGGTGAGCAGAGGTGGGATCTAAGTGAACTGTCCCCTGAATCAGCACTTGGAGTACATGGGGACAAGGCATGTCCTCTAAACTGACAATTATGGGTTTGAGCACTATGGTCATGTCAGCAAACTACATCATGAGAGAACAGGCTGAGGTATAGGGTCAGTATGTACCAACCAGATTGTGACAAGGGATGGGTGACAGGCTAAACTGAACTCCATGCAGTTAGATACAACCACTTCAGTCAAACACTGTGAAAAATGGTTATTTTGAGGTTTATAAGATCCAGCAAAATAACTAATATTATTGTTCATGAGCTGTAAGTCAACATCTGCTTTTATTTACAGACTCACAGCTTACTTGACAATGATTTAGAAATATTTTTCAAGTTGGCTGCTGGATGTACTCATCCCCTAGCAATAAAGCTTAGTGGAAATCTATGATCTGATTGTCAAATTTATCTATCTCTGGAAGTTTCTTTCCTTCTTAAGAGCAAAAGATACTCAGGGAATTCACAACAACTTTAAAGAGAAGTAAACACATACATTTGCCATCAGATTTCATAATTTCAAAGAAATGGTCTACCTTTCACACGATTGCCATCCTTGGGTTATGAAAATTGTGGAACTTGAAGCCCTATTAAAGATCTCCTTTACTCTCCTTCCTTTATTTGGGAGGATAGACAGGTAGATAGGTAGATAGATGGATAGTATCTGATAAATTCAATCCTCAAGAAGTTTCCAAATAGCTCAGTGTAACATATTCTCTTTACTGGAGCCTAAGCCAGGAGCCATGAGTAACAACAGCCTGTACTTCTTCCATATGCAGAGTTGGGCTAAAGAAGCCTTCCACACCAATGTACACAATGCACTTGTAACCACCCTCAGGAGATCCACAGGAGCACTGCAGTCACCCTGCCGTGTGAAGCTCACCTTGGTGATGCCCAGGGCCCCCACGTTCTCACTGTAGGACGTGGTGCCATTTCCCGTTCCCCAGGCCCCAGCCAGGAGGCAGCCAATGCCTTCCACACCGATCCCACGGTTGATGGCATGCTTCGGTGGTGGTGGGGCACCAGACAGGCGGGCACAGGCATAGTAATCCCCCATGGACTCCAGCATGGAGGAGATGACCCCGGCGAGGATGCCGAATATCCCAGCCAAGCTGACCGTTGGCATTCCCCACTGTCCTGCAAATAAAGAGCTTGATTCAGGTCAGCGGGGCACATTTACCCCACAGTCTACTGAGAGGGAAGAACAGCAGGGTGCTTGTGCGTTTGCCTGATTTTTGGCATTTCTCTTCCCTGTGGTTGCTGTGAGGTGGGCAGCAAGGGATAGGGGAGAGGGTTGTGCAGCTGTGTCGCAGTACCTGGGTAAGGGAGCCGAAACCAGGGAGCCTGAGACAAGACGTCCCCGCGGGTGTCTGTCCGTGCCAGGTGGCCGTAAGCAGTGGGGTCCGTGGGGAGGACGTCAGTCACCGTCAATATGTAGCAGAACAGCCAGCTCAGGGACAGCCCCAGCAGCACCTGCCCGTCACATATGGCAGCAAGATCTGGTTATGGCAGAGCCGCATCTCCAGCAGTGACAGACAGGTCTGGGACAAGGCCTTCTCCTGCCCAACCTTTTCCCTGTGCACACGTGAGCATGCACATGGGATGGAGGAAGAGTGACAGCAAGTATCCCGGTGGCCCTCCTTTCTGCCCCACAAACAGACGCCATGGGTCTTTCTCCCATTCTCCCCGCTGCCCTTTGCAGTGTAGCCTGGGTTGGGAATTGCTAAGTCCACTTGAAGTGAGTGTAAACAGCCCAGGTAGCCTGGACCGAGTGAAGCTGGTCCCTCTGCCATGCTGCCTAGGGCACCAGGAGCACTAACATACCGGGAAGATCTGGAAGATGTAGATGGGGGAGAAGTGGCACTTCTTGCCTCTCTGATACGATGGCAGTGGCACAGGGACATTCTTCAGGTACTGAGAGAACAGAACTATGAAAAAAACAGTCCTGGGAGGAGGAGAAAACAGACCATGAGACAAGTGTTTGCCCAGATGCCCACCTGTCCCCATGTGAACTGGAGGCCTGGCTACCTGATTTCCTTTCATCTGAAGGACTCCAGATGACCCCCCAGAAAAGTCTCTCAGCACCAAAAGTAGCAGTGTCCTTGTTTGCCCCAAGCCTCCAGGGCTTGCTCCAGTGGCCACAAAGTGCAGCTTCTCTCCCACCCCTTGTGTGGGACTGCACCTCTCACCAACAGCAGCACAGAGCTGCACAGACACACCACAATATACAGCCAGAGGTTATCAATCACCATTCAGAGCATTGAATGACTGGATGCAGAATGTCTGAGGAGGAACCAGCTTCCATTCTTGGTTTCTAAAGCTACAGAGCATAGACCAACTGCATCAGTGCACATTTTGTGCATTTGCATTAACAAAGGAGCACAGCAGCCTGATGAATCACTGCAGAACACTCGTCTATCTTGGGTAGGTGTCACTGCTTATTATTCAGGTTGCCTGACACATTCCATTAATAGATGCTATTTTCAGCTGCTTATAATTCTGCCTAACTTTTTTCCATTTAGAATGAAAATTTCCATGGAAAATATCTGCCCTAGGCCAAATATTTCTGGAGAAATATATCCTAAACCTATTTCAAAGAGTGATGTTCAAGAAATAGACATAGTTGAGAAGGTCATTTTGCCTTGAGCAGTAGTAAGGTCTGCCTATGTGAGATTTAGTAGAATTTGTTTCTTGGGGAGAGGCATATTGCTCTTTCTCACAAAACTCTGCTCACGTATGGCAAGTCTGTGGCAATGATCATTCATCTCAGATCCCAAGTACTGAGCATAAACATCTCTGACTTTAGCATGTGCAGGCCATAAAGATTTTGAGCTTTTTTTTTTTTTTTCTCGAATATTGTTAAGTGATGAACTGTAGTATGTACCATCACCAAGGAGCAAGTGAGCACACACCAAACCAGTTTCTCAAGGCAACATTGGGATTCACCCATTATGGAGGCTCTGGGGTGTGGTAGAGCTGGACAGCAGGGCTGAGACCACAGGACCCATGTCTTCTACCTCCTCCATCGCCTGTCTCTGCCTGGGACTGGGATTAGCACAGGTAGAAGTTCAGTTAGAAAAGAGAAGAACAGAAAGGGTAGCCAGGATTGCATGCAGGGGCCGAACACGGACAGGAAATGTCCTGGTAATGGAGCAGCACTGCTGGGCAAAGTGGTCAGGAGAGAAACAGAGGTTAGGAGCTATGGACTGGAGAGGGGAAGCGAAAAATGAGACAATCCTGATGAGGAAATAGATTTTGAAAAGAGAATTCAGATTGGCCAAGCAAAGAGGCTGGGACAAATCATTAGAGCTAGAGAACAGGACAAACTGCAGATGTAGTGGAAGAAACAAGGGTGAAAAGGAACTTAAGGAGCAGGGGGACAGGCAAGGTTTGGTATCTTAAGGAGTGCTTGCAGAAGAGATCAACTGGGTGGAGAACTGCAGGTGGAGAAGGTCGCATTTGGAGCCTGGGAGTGCAGGTGTTGGCAGACAGAACAGAACTAACAGTGACAGAAGTGGAGCTGGGAGCAGAAGGCCTACTTGGGTCCTGATAACATCCCCATGACAGCACACTGCCTTCCGAGGCTGCATTCAAGGCTGACCTCTGGACCTCTTAGTTTCCAAAGACATCTCTGAAAGCACTAGGAAACTGTTGGAAGTCATAGAGGAAAACAACCTGCTGCTGTTGTATGCTGTCCCAGTCTTAAACCTGCATTGTGGATCTGAAAATGCTTATCTACAGGGGAACCGTGCAGTGGCATTTCTATTTTTTGAGACTGTTTCTGAAATTTAGATTTAAATTCTGAAATTAGATTTAAATTTAGGTTTAGACAAGATATTAGGAAGAAATTCTTCACTGTGAGGGTGGTAAGACGCAGGAACGGATTGCCTGGTGAGGCTGTGGATGCCCCCTCCCTGGAACCATTCAAGGCCAGGCTGGATGGGGCTTTGAGCAACCTGGTTTAGAGGGAGGTGTCCCTGTCTACGGCAGGGGGGTTGGAACTAGATGATCTTAAAGATCCCTTTCAACCCAAACCATTCTATGATTCTATAAATATCAAAGAAATTCTGCCACCAGGAACACTTGTATGCTTATACACAAGGGCACACACACAGATTTCCCTGTAAGAATGCTCTCAATGCTGCAAAGGCACATGCACACAATGTAGACATTTCCAGAGCTCCCCCAGCGCCTCTGAGGAGAAAACAATTCCTCCTCATGGCTTGAAAACAAGACATGAAGCAGCAGCTATTCTAACTTGAAGAATATAGAACTCTGAGTGCTTAACTGTGTTATTTTAGAAATGTCTTTTTAACTTAAATAATGGATGTGTAGGATAGTGTGCATAAACAACTATAACAGAAATTGCCCTTAGCAATGACACATAGGAAAGACTTGTTTCTCTATTGAGCTAAGAACTATGAGTTTTCACAAAATCAGTATTTTTAAAATTCTTTTTTTTTTTTTTTTTGCTTTGTTGCTGGTGTAGCTGAGGGCTAAAAGCTTCTCAAAAGGTAACTGTGTCATGCTGGTATCTTGCACAAGCCTTCTGTGTGTTAGCACTCCACAAATAAATCTCGAGTTCCCAGGGAAGTGATACTTACATGAATGCTATGCCCCAGTGCTGTCCAGCTTTATCCCCAGCCGAGTCAAAGAGAGGCAGAGCAACCAAGGTGATGGTGGGGGCTATTGTCAAGGGGCCAATGAATCTCATCAGAAATCCAACAAGGCCAGAAAATCCAACAAAGATTTGAAAGCAAGAAGCTACCATGATAGCTCCTTGCACCTGGAAAAATGGAGGAAGAGAGCAGACAGTGAATAGACCTATAACTGTTAAGTTTTTTTCTTAAGATTTTTCTTAAGGAAGTCAGTACCAAGCCAGTATGAGAGCCAGGCACACCTCCAAAGATGGACAGGTATGGAGACCTGCCACTGACCACAGCAGGCCTGTGCTGAGCATTACATGGGGGGAAGGACCACCAAAGTACCAGCACACCAATTCCCACCTTGGCTGAGGGATTTAGTCATTACCAGGGCTTGTTTCATTCCCTTGTGCCTGCCATCTGTGATGCCCAAGCACACATCAGCTTCCCTGCACCCAATCTTTCTGCTCCCCCAAAATGAGGGGAAAAGCTCTTGCTCTGAAAATGGGAATAGAGCCACGGCCTCCACTCACCTCCCACCTGGGAAGCACTTGGGGTGTTTCAGCACACTGGTAGGACAGGATGTCATGACAGCTTCTGTTTTTTCTCAGTATCAGTTTATCTCTGGGGACATAGTCATCACTCTGAACTTTTCTGTGTTTGACAATCACTGTTTAAGTAGCCAGTGACTGTGTCCTGAAATGCCATTAGTTGCTCTCATCACTTCCACCCAAGAGGCTCAGGGGTAAAGCTGCTGTCTTCACAGATTTGGTGATAAACCTGCAGTACTGAGCATTTTCCCTCATGCTGGCTCCAAAGGCATGAGGAACACACAGCTATGGATAACAGGTCTGTTTCACCCAGTGGAGACTTTGTGGGGACCGTAATCACCCAAGGACTTTTTGTCTCCTGTTCAGTGGCAGCGCAGCACCAGAGCTTAGGTTGCCCAGGAAGCTCTAACAGGGCAGAGGCTAAGGGCCATTGGAGATGGAAGGTGAGGTGCTTTCCTGAAAGCAAACAGCCCTGACACAGAACAGGTGCCACTGAAGATGTGATGTACCTCTCGCATCCGTGTCTGCCAGACTTCAATGAACTCAGGTGAATAAGTGTTCACCAGCGTGGCATTCTCCGTCCAGGCAGGGCACTTCCACTTGGGGAGAGACAGCATTGCCAGGGTGGGGGTCAAGAAGGAAAAAGTTCCTCCTTGAATAATAGGCAACCTATAAGGAGAACAGAGGGAAAAGCTGACAAGAATGCTAGAATCACAGCTCCACTTAGGTGAGAGGAAGGAAAGCAAAATAAATTAAAAACAACAAACAAACAAACAAAACAAAACAACAAAAAACACCACATTCTGGTCGTGGTCTCTGGCATTGTCTTTTCATCTGTTCTAGCAGGTCACCATCACTGACAATGCTTAGGAATTGTTGCCAGTAGTACTCAAAGAGCAATGACCACGACAGAGAGAGGTACATTTGGTATGGAGTCAGACTGCTACTCTGCTTTAGGGAAATATGTGTACTTCTAAGTTATGACTTGGTCATGGAGCTGCATATGGTAAAAAGGTAGCCAAAAGAAAAAGCTGGAGGAGGAGAGAAGGGAAAGGAAGAAAGATGATGAGTCTGAAGGAAAGCTTAGTACTGCCCTGTGCCCAAATCTCACCAATATCCAGTTCTTTCCTCTGTCCCCTTGATCTGCCTCACTTTTCTTCACAACCTGCTTATAAACACAATCACACACTGGCTATCCTCCCAGCCATAACCATCTTCAGACTAGGAGCACTGGAAATTGTGGTTTATATCTTAGGAGATTGGGTTTTTTTTAAAGCTAATTCCTTTGCTCTTTCTCCACTGACAGTGGAAAGGAAACCTACATGGACACAGCAACAAGCTCTGAAAAAGCCAAGAGAAGCCTCCAAAGTGCATTGGCTTTATCTGCTCAGAAACCTCTCTGGGAGCAGCTCCCAAAGCAACCTCTTCTTGCGCCAAAAACCCCAGTGGCACCTGCTTAGAAAAGCAGCAGGGCAGTGATCCATGTGAATGCTTCTGCAATTTCCCTGAAGCTGAAGCGTTTCCACCGTTCATCAGAAAGCACAGGAAAATGAAAGATGGCAAAGCTGTAACAGCACCACATCTCCGTCACTTACAACAAGTATTTATGTCACTGCAATTACTCATGCCACATACAACCAAAGCACTGTTAGAACTTGCCAGCAAGTTATATTTGAACATCAGTCATCCGTGGAGTCACTTATTTATTATATTCATCCAAACATGTTGCAGCCTTCGAAGGATTTTGCTGGGCAAAAAAAGGCAAAAAAAAAAAAGAAAAGAAACATAGAAGACCTAGTGCCACCACTGTTGAATTAACAACAGCTTTATAGCTCCTGGTGTGCTGGCCCTGAGGCTGTTTCCAAGCTGGTGTTGGTGGGCTTAACATCAAGCTGGAGTGTTGAGGTGATGCATATGGGGGACATGGGTTGTTTTTTTTTCTGGCAGTATTTACAAGATTTAGAGGAGATGTTATGCTCTGATCATCACTGCACGATGCCTAAGCATCACCACAATGGCAAATGAGGTCACTTACCTGTGTGTCCTCAGGAGCTTCTTGGATAGTCTCTAATGACCATCTGGACCCATCATTCCTTTTTCATGCTCTGCCACATGGCTGAGCTGCAGGTTACAGTGGGTTGAGGTTTTCCACCATTTACTGTTTCTGGAGGACTGCTCCCAGATTGTACTCACTCTTGGAAGGAACCTCCCCATTTCTACTGCCAGTTCCCACCTCTTTGTTCATGTGCCAGCACTGTATTTTAGCTGAAGTGTTTTTTCCCTGCCTAATCCCATCTCTGCTCTCTCAGACTAATTGCAGGCTGCAGCCAGATCCACTCAGCCACCACTTGGCCTAAAACAGCCAATCTTACTTACATTACCTCCACAAGATGAGCTGCCTCCCATTACCATACCACATTAACATGTTATCACTATCCCTCCTCTCACCTCTTCTCCTCTGAATCAGTCTTTCTTAAATACAGACATCATGAACTGTGCAGAGCACCTAGCTGAGGGCTCCTAAGGGCGCTGGGCAGTAGCACTGATGTTTTCCAGGAAAAAAAAACATCCCCTCAACCTCGTATTTATTGTTTTCCCCACAGTCTTGCTGGTGACTCATGATTATCAGCTACTAAAGTCTTTGAGAAAGCAGTAAAATGAGAAAAAGAAATCTGCTTCTAACTGTTTCCCCAGGCTAGGTTTGCTTGCCATCACTTCCTTCGGCTCTGCTCCAGGCTGAGTCCACCTTTCTGACAGGGAATGTCCTCATGCCTTATAATTGGGGCCAGCAATAAGGCAATTGCATCCTTAGTGCAGAAAATGTCATTTAAGCTTATCCTATAGGATCAGCTCCTCACTGCTTAATTTGACCTGTTGTTCCTCATTCAGCTACTGAGCCACAAGAGACATTAATGAGACATTCATGTCTCATTCCCTGCCACATTTTTATCACCAAGTCATTTTGGGGGCAGCCTGAGGGGACCTGGGGGATCTGAATCACCCAAACAGCCCACACCATAGCTGTATGCCCTAGCCTGAATTTAACTGAACTCAGAAGAACCAAGTCGCCTCTCTGTGGTGGCCGCAGTGGCCTGGCATGCATTGCAGGCTACCTCCAGGCCCCTTTCTCCATTAATCCTGCAGCAATTGAGGGAGGGGTTTGTCTACCACCATTCCTTATGACAGACAGTGATGGAAAAGTTACACTAGCGAAATGTCCAGGAGGTGTAAAAAGCATTGTGATTTGACAGTAGAAGAGTTTTAACCAGGTTATTCAGATTTGAAAGCCAGTCAATATGTGATTTTCACTTTTGAAGCAAGAAACACCAGTTCTTGTTAATGCTTTATCAATGCTTATAAATATCTACTGGGCAGGAGTCAAGTGGATGGAGCCTGGTGCTTTTTAGTAGTGTGCAGCAGCAGAACAAGGAGCAATGGATACAAACTGGAACACAGGAAGTTTCATACAAACATGAGGAAAAAATTTTTTACTTGGAGAGTGAAAGAGCAGTGGAACAGGTTGCCCAGATAGGCTGTGGAGTCTCCTTTTCTAGATATGCACAAGACCCCCCTGGATGCCTGCCTGTATGATCTATCGTAGGGAACCCTCTTTAGCAGGGGTAGTTGGACTGGATGAGCTCCAGATGTCCATTCCAACACCTGCAATTCTGAGGTTCTGTGTGATTCTGTTCCTGCCATAACACAGGAAGAAAAAAAATGGAAAGAGAGAGGCAGTCCAGAATTATGACAAAGGGAATAGAAGAAATTTTGCAAGGCCAGCAAGGACCCAGGATCTTTGGGGCACTGTGGATATGTCTCTTACAAAGTATTTAACTTTCTCCTGAATCTCTGAAGGTGGTGGATGAGCTGCAATTTCTCCCAGTTGCCCCCCTGAACCCATTTCTGAACGGCTCTGTGCACCCAGGGTCAGGGCCAGATTGAAAGGGATTTTCCACAGCCATAGGTTCTCTGGTAAGGAGCAGGCAGATACTGTATACTGCATCTTTTTTAATGCCTTACCTTTTGCATGACAGATTCATTATGAGCCCAACAAAAGATGCATCAAGTACCAGGAAATGCAAAAGCCAAACAGTGAGGCAGAGCTGCAAACCTGTCTCATACAGTGACTGCAGTATGCTTTGCCAAGTGTACTGATTGCCTAAGGGTAACAAATGACCCCCAGTACTAGATAAACTTTACAGCAAGCTGGCTGCTGAGCACATAGAAATTGCATCTATATATTTTCTTGCGTGTCCCATTTCTTGCAGTTGACCTACCTGACTCCAAAGAGGACTTGAAGCAGGGTGCAAATTCCTGACACAAAGAAGATGGTGCTTATCAAGTGGCTCTGGGTGAGGAGGTCATGCTGAAGACAGAGCTCTTTGGAGAGGATCAGCGGGATGGCTACCAGACCTCCTATGGCTGTTAGGAAATGCTAAGAACCACAGAGAAAGACAGGGTGAAGAAGGACACAGAACTGGCATTCTAATATTGCATTACTGGGGGATACCTGCAAGAAACTAGCATGTTTGCATTTGCATCATACCAGTACAACTCATTCTCTTTTTTGATAAATTAAACATTCTGTTAGGGATGTACTTACAAGATCTGCAGTGCACCCCCACAAAGTTCTCCCACTTTCCGTGCCCAAAGACCTTTTGTAGTGCTCTGATAGTGCTCCCCATATCACTGTCAGACAGAACAGGCTTATCCCCTGCCCTGCAGACAAAACTGTTGGGAATAGTCTAGCAGGAAGGAAGGGACATCATAGGGAAAGGTCACATGAAGTGAGCAGAGTACAAATGTTTGAATCCATTTCACTGGCACCTCAGTGAATAACATAAAATATTTGTAAACTGGAATTATCTATTCTTCGCTGTCAACAACTTTTCTCACACAGTGCAGTTATGAATAGCCATATAAATGGATGCCAAAGAATGGAAAGATCAAGCATTTTGTATTTTTCAAAAGAGTCACAGGCATACTTTAATAATGACCTTTGGTTAATTACTAAATATGAAGATAATTTGGTGAGCAATTGATGAGGTAAGGTTGTTTCAGCTGGTTTGACTTCCTAATTCTCACTCATAGTACAGGGCTGCAATGGTGGAATTGGTGGCACTTGGAAACTCACCGTGCTTGTTAAAGGTATGTTTTATTAAATGTACAATGTAAATACATTCACAAAACCTTGTTATACATTCTAAATATAAGGTGACCATTTAAGGAAACAAAGTACAAGATGTCCACGGAGCTCCAAGAACAGTCCGTTGCTCCCTTAGTCATTCTGAGGGCTCTGTTCCCTCAGGCTCTGTACCCATTAACTTTGGGTTGCATTGGGTTATTTAATATGTGTGGGCACAGACATTAGCCAAAGCAGTGTGGACTCTTCTCATGCTGCCTCTGCTTAGCCATTATTGCAGTGGAAAAGCAGAAGTATAGAAGCCTACAGACATTTTGCTGATTTCAGCACAGGTATCTGACCTGTTCTTATTAACTGATTGGCTCCAGCCCTAGGTCTCTGCCTTACTATTTGCACATCAAGGGGGAGGGTGTTGCTGCAGGCAGAAGGATAAGAATCAGTACTCAGGCAGTGGTGGGAAGGCCCTAAGGACACTAAGCTCACAGCTCCAGGTGCATCAGAATCAAAAGCACTCCCAAATACAGATTTTGTCCCCATTAACTGGCTGAACATCTGGTAAAAATTCCATCCATCCCCACCCATTGCCCGAAGCCCTCTCATACCTGAATACCCAGCAAGATGCACAGGTACCAGGGGGGTATGTCAGTGACAGTGTAGGCCAGCTTGTTGCTCTGCCCTTTGCCTTTGCCTTTCTTTGGGCCCTGGGCAGCGCGATCCAGTGAGGCACAGTGGTGGCTCCCATCTTCACTCTGAACAATGAGAAAAACCATTCATTAGCCATAGCTCAGCCCTGCAGCTGCTTGTCTTGAGGCAGTGCTCCATGATCTTGTGGGAGCACTTCAGATGTAATTTTCAACAGTCAGGATTATGAAAGAAGTGCAGTGCTTTAAGAAATCGTTTATATGCTTATTTGCACATTGTGTGTCTAGACAGGGAAACTTTGGAGGGTGTTTCAGCCTCAAAGAGGCATTTGATAAAGTGTGCTAGCATCATTAGTGTCTCATTAAGGATGGAAAAACTGTAAGCAGAAGCAGGAAGGAGTGTGCATCAGGTTAATGCTTGAATGCTGCACTGGTCCCTGTTCTCTGTCCCATCCAAAGAGATCTTTTGACAAAATACCCTAAAACAATTTGACCAATTTGACTAGGAGACTTTTCTGCATTTTGTTTCCTTCTCTTAAATCTTCTTGATGTTCTCACACATCCTTACAAGTGTTTCACTTCAATAAACACACCTGCACTGGGTCTTAACAGGACACCTCTCTAAAACAGAGGAACTAGGGGAAACCAAAGAGCATGAGATCCTGGTGAACCATCTCAAAGTTAGCTAGCTGGCAAAAGCAGGGTGAGTTGAGATCTTGTCTCCAGCTTGGGGAGCCCAAGCACATACATGTGGCAGAAAAATCTGCTGTCAGAAGATGCTCAACTGGTTTATCAGCACCAAACTTCCTTTTTCTTTAATCTTCCAAGTCCTGCCAGAACAGAAAGATGCTGAAAGCAAGGTGTGTGCTGTAACACTCATGGCCTACCTACACTGAAGCTAATGCTGTGATCAGGGAACAAGGATATAAAATCAATGTTATATTCAGTTGTAAATTTTCAGGTGTGGCTAATTAGTCCCAAAGAACTGCAAACTTTCTTGAAATCTCCAGCCTTGTGGCTGACTCCCATTTATGATCACACTGTCAAAGTGTGCTGAAACATTCCAAAACACCATATATTTACCCAGCCTAGGCAGGTTGGGAGTATCACAGCTCCTTCAAAACAGATAGGTGAGGGCAGAGTTAATTCCAAGTGAGCTCAAGCATGAACTTCATGAGCAAAAGGCATTCCTGAACACCTCCCATGGAGGCGTTTTCATTTCAGAACAAGGGAGCACGACCTGTGGATTAACAAAGCAGCAAGATATTTAAGACTGCTCATGCAGGGAGTTATATGGGGACAGCTACTCCTGAATAACACCATGGATAAAGGAAGTCTAAGCTAGGCAGACAGCAGTAAGCTCCTTTCCTTTCACCACAACTTTTTCCTGTATTAACCAGAGGATATATTCCAGCCAGGCAGAGTCTGTGTCAGTCACAGCCCCATATGACCATCACATGAATGCCTGACCCTCCCCAGGAGCTAATGGGGAGTGAGCATGGTTCAGCAAGAGAAGCATGAAGCTGAGAGAACAGGATGAGGCACGTCAAGAGACAAATTCCAACTGAGCAAGAGGTGATGGATACAAGCTGAAACACAGAAGGTTCCACCTGAACATCAGGAAACATTCCTTTACTGTGTGGATGACCAGAGACACAGTGGTACAGGTTGTCCAGATTGGCTGTGGAGTCTCCTCCTTGGAGATCCTCAAAAGCCATCTGGACATGATCCTGGGCAGCCTGCTGTGGGTGTCCCTGCTGGAGCAGGGATTGGAGTGGATGACCCAGAGGTCCCTACCCATGTCAGCCATCCTGTGATGCTGAGGTGCTAGAAGGAGGACAAAGCAGGAGCAGGAACAGGGACAGACCCTCACAGGAGCTGCCAGAGCTGCTGCCAGTGGTTCTCAGTCCAGCTGCTCTCATGAGCCCAGGGGCAAATTAAGTGCACCAGGAGGGCGATCAGAAAGTGAGCTGTTGGACAGGTAGAAGAAAATGGTGATTCAAATTGTAGGAAGTTACAACTCATCAGACTTGCCAGCAGCAGCACAGGTAAAAATTGAGACCATTAAAAACATTGCTCTGCATGCCTTGCTGAGGCTTTCCCTGCAGCTGGCACACATAGCACTCCACCTCCACTGTTGCCAGCAAGCTCACTCTGAGAAATGGGAGACTTGGACACCAGAAGATTAAATGACTCCTCCATGGTCCCCTATCTGGGGAGGTCTATGCCAACGTATTAGGATCCCACCTTTCTACTCCCACTGTCAGAACACAAACAAGTTTTCTCATTTCTAACTGGGGTTAACTCCGTTGGAAGTTAACTGCATGAGATAGGAATGGGGCTGTTGTGACCCAAGTCCTTTCCCCATGGCACTGTTACAGTTCCCACTATCCCCAGTGCACTGCACACTGCTGAATTCACACATCATTTACAGATTTTACTGCCCTGCTATATCTCTACAGGGCGCTCTCACCCACTGACCCCCAAATCCCTTTTTCACTCACTTCTCTCCCAGTTTACTTCAATAGAAATAGATCCAGAAGACAAAGAAACACATTCTTTGGTGGGCTAAATTTCTCTTGTAATTTTACTGATACATAAATGCTTCTAAACACGGACATCAGCACAAGCATCTACCAAATCACCACCTTTTCAAGACAGATATACCTGCACTGCCATTCATCTACTCTATCATTTTAGAGGTAATGCAGAGAAAAGAAGTGAAAGGGCACCAGAGAGCAGAAACTGCACTGGATCTGTAGCAGCAGCAGACTTTAGTGAGGCAGTCATTCCTCAGATTCCTGTTGATAGAAAAGCTGAGAGACTACAGACAAGCCTCCTCGCAGGCAGTCTGATCCCCTGGCTTTCCCTTTCTCCTCAGTTTGCAGGACTCAGACCGATTTACACAAGAATTACCTTTTGGGGAAGAGCAGACTCACCATGAAGCTGGGGTTATCTATCCCGTTGAGCTTTTTGTCTGTGGAGGGGGTCATGCCTTCCAGTTTTCTTCACCGACTGCCTTGAAAAAGAAAGATGAATAAGAAGAGAAAAGCCTCCCAAACTGCCACTTGTCCGAGTCAGTACAGCCCTAAGGAAACTGGATAAGCAAGGGCAGAAGCTGGACGTCAGGAGTCAGCCAGCAGTCCGTCCTAGGTGAGCAGTATCACCAAAATGTTTCCTACTCCTTGGCTTATATAAGTGACTCCTTTTCTTCAGCTGATTAGAGGACGGGCATTCCAAACAAACTGCAAAGCAATCTTTCTCAGAGTGAACCAGTAATGGATGATGCAAGAATTTCCTCAGTAGGTAAGGATGCAAGGTGGGTATCAGAGAGGCAAGGTATTTCCCTGCTCTCCTTGTCCAGCCTTGAAACTTGCTTCCTTATTGATTTACAGCTGCTTTCATCTCCTGTGACTTGTTTGAAGAACTTTGTGCTCATCTTTAGAAAACAGCAGTCTCTAGGTGGTTTCACTTGTTCTGCATGTAAACTGCTGTGTATTTTGGCTAAGGTACAACTGCAGTCATCTTGTGTTATAAACCTATTACAGCATGAAAAGAATGAGGCTTTTACTGGGAAACTCTTTAAGACAGAGACCAAGAAACAAGTCATCAGAAGATGATGCCAGAGTGGTACAAAGAAATCAGATTGGGGGGAAAAAAAAAAGAAAAAGAGAGACTACCTTAGGTCATCTGATTTTCTCAATTCAACTAAGGAGTCCAGCCGAATGGAGATAATAAGATGTGTTTAAGCCCAGCTGCCCTTATCTTAACAAACAGCAAACAGCGCTAATGCTCCATCAAGCCACTCTAGGCACCTCTTCCCACTTCTCCTCAGATTTAAATATCTATTTAATTTAATGGCTCCCCAAGGCAATGAACTTCCCAGACCAGCTGCAGAAAGGTCCCATCAAGAGGGGCTTGCTATTGCATGCACAGTGATAACCCAAATCTCATGGATTCCAAGCAGGAAGCTGCATAACAAAAATTAGTTCTGTTCTCTGTTTCTTATGTAGAGCATTGGTATTCTCAGGCATCTTCAGATGAAGACTGCATTACAGAGGGAAGAAAACCTTACCTAAACATCATCAATGAAGTTATGAGCTGCTGGGTAAATAAATCTTAAAGTATCAAAATCCTCAGGCATTCATGGTATTGCCAGATCTCCCCATATTTTTAACCACAGGGGTGCATTTCCAGCCTCGCTGATCTTGGCATGAGGTCACATATTTTTATCCTGCAAGCTCTAAATGAGAGCTCTTTCCCTGGTCAAACTACCCCTGACACTTTTGCCCTCAACTCTAACCATTCCCAGTACAGAAGGAGCAGCAGAGGCCACCCTGTTTTATAGACTTGCTCATCTCTTATTCACTATATGGTTGCAGTTCATTGCATATATACAAATTCACATTGTACCATATATATTGACAATGTCCAGCAGGCAGTACCAGTGAGGATACACTATTGCAAAGCTCTAAGAAAAGAAGCATTGGGTTCTTTAACTCATTTCACAAAGGAACGTTTTTCTATGCATTTCTCTATGGATACAGTACAGTTCTTGAAGCAACTGTCTCCATCTGTGCATTCTGATATTCTCCATTCCCCCTTCTCCATTCCATGAATCAGCCACACACTGTGCCACACAACCTCTCTTGTTGTGAATTTTTTCAAGCCATGGCACAGTATTCCTGTGGGTTAACCTTGCCTTCCCAGTAGACGTTTATGAGATCATGAATCAGGAAAGTCTTCCATCCCTTAATTTCAGCCCAGTATTTGTTCAGTGACTCCTCTGCCCTGCCATAACATTATTTTCAAATGAGACCTAAGTGTTCAATAATGAATTCATCTCCTTGGTCATATAAGCTGGTGTAACAACACAGCAGAGCAAGTGCACTACAATTCCTGCATCATCTAGGCTAGCATATGAAACTACTTACAAAAGGAGTGTTAAGTAAACAGGGTAAGAAGAAAACAACATCAAGAACAACAACCCATTTTCACAAAAAAAGCTGAGTGGAAAATCATTTTTCCATTCTAGTAAATTCTGCAGTCAAAAATGCACTTTAAGAGTACCAAGAAACTGCAGGTGTTCATGAAATAATGCAGGACGTAAGTCCTGAGTAGCCCAAAGCCTGGACAACAGAGTAGGCCTATTAGGAATGAAGACTACCATTATCAGACTCTGGACAAAAAAAAAAAAAAAAGGTTAATATGCTAATATGGAATCTAGAAGTTCATGAAATAGCACAAAATATATACCAAAGTAGATTCCATATGTGCCCCAGCCCAGGATGTCCCAGCCTTGGCAATTAACAATGACTGTAGGGAGTATCTGTGTGCATGCAAATGTCTGAGTATGTCATATGTATACATACAAGTGCATCAGTAAGATTAGCTATAAATGACAAAACTGAGATTTTTAGAAACAGGAATAATTCAGTTAGTAAAGATGCCTGCTGAACCAGTAATATCATAAACTTGTAACAGCTTAATCAATGGTATGAATTGCTTTTAGGAATGAAACTTATTCACGATGTGTGAGTAAAGAAGAACCAAAAACTGTAGTATGAATTCCCTTTAAGTTTCTGTGTTTGGTCTGTCTCCTGTTGTCCATCAAACTGCCAGCTGCTCATGTCAGTAAAGGCTGTCTCTGCTTATGTCAAGGAGGCAGAAGAAGACAATCGACTAATCAAGGAAAAGCTTGGAAGCATTGAAGACCCAGCTGAAATCTTCAATCTTGACCCCAAGTCTTCTGTACCCACAAGGAGAGCCTGGCCCATCTGTGTCCTGACTCTCCTGACAGGGTCATCTTCGCTCTTATGCTACATTTCTCACAGAAACTCTGAGCCTTTTCCAGGAAGCACAGTGGATCAACTTACAATGATGTCTTGAGATGCAAACCTGAACTGTCCTTGACTACGCTTCAATGACCAAGGAGCTTCCTGCACTCTTTAGGAGATGGGTGTCTGTCATGGATAGAAATGACTATGTTATACACTTCACTCATAAGAAAGAAGCAGAAATATATTTATTGATATAATATAGATATAACATAGTGATTTAACAATTACAGGAAAAGATTCGAGATGGCTGGATACACTTGATGATATACTGCATAGAGGGTAGGATTAAACACACACATACAAAAGACTCTCCCATTGAGTCACAAGATTTAGAGTGGACCCACTTGCATTCTAAACTCCTTGAACCATGAATGTAAGGAGCCTAGGTGCGGCCAAATCCACTCCCAGTCCCAGACTTGGTCAACAGATTACATCTAAGAAATCATATGTGCACAAACAATCTAAGACATTGTCTTAGTGAAGCTAAAAAAGCTTACCATAAATCTAAGATATAATCTTAGCAAAGCTAACAAAGCTTAAAACAATTAGTCACTTACTGAGAATCTGTATTGGCAAGGCACCTTGACGTCAAGGTGTAAGAGATCCCTGCACAGATGTAACCTCAGGAGGTGACCCTGCTCAAGAGGAAATTCTGCTGTGCAGCTAGCTGCTCTTGGGCTGCTCTCTATTTACAAAGTAAGGTGACTGACTCATATTCATACTTCGTTTTTAGGTTCTCAAATGGCCCTCAGCTGCTGAACCAGGTGTCTACTATCAGTTTTTCAGCCCCCCAGTTTGAGACAGATTTGTGGCAGTTAATGTTTTAGCAATCAGTACTGTTGCTCATCGTTGTCCTGTGTGAGGCCTTGTGTGCAAAGCCAGGCTGAAGGATGAAGTTGGGAGAATGAAAGGAAGGAGGGGAGAACACACTCTTGCAGTATCCCTAGTAAACTCCAGGTAAGGTGGCACCAGCATGGGGACGTACAAGACTCTATGGGTAGACGCAGATGAGGCAAGTGCCTGCATACATGCAAGTGCTGTTACTTTCCTGAACTATGAAACAACCAAGATGATTAGCATGGAGGAAGGTGTCTGAAGTTGATTAAGACGAGTCCCTCCATGAAGGGCTGTGCACACATAATCCAGGGAGATGCAGACTTGGTGATTCACACCAAGACCCTTGCTGGGAGAGCAGGTTCATCCACAGTGTTATTACAAACTTCTTGCACTAAGTCCTAGCTACTTGAGCTAGGAAAACATGGGTTTAGAAGGAACATAGGATATGAAATAAAAGTGATGCAGAATAGAACAGAACTAACATGGAGACCTTGCATCAAAAAAAATTGGAAACATCTTTCTAGCTAGCCCTGGTTGGCTAGCCAACTGCTAAGCAAATGACTAAGCAATAAGTAATTTAGCCACAAAATACTTGTATACCCTTCCTTCCATGGAACCTCTTGCAAGGAAATAGGATCACCCATGCTCACTGGCTTCAAATTACTACTTTTGTGTTTGATTGTGGAAGTTCAGAGTCTGCAGAAAAGCTCTTCATTGCTCACTAATGGAACTGGATGAGTGCAATGCTTTTAGTTTTGGACTGCATACAGTTCTTCCTATGAGAAAAGGATCTCATCACTTAAGTGCAACCAATGCAACACACTGCAGTGCACTTAGGATGTACAGCAAAGTTTACATGTAAGGATGCTTGCTTAAAACACAGCAGGGGGATAAACTTAAATACAGCAAATTCTCTTAAGTAGTCAAAAATAATGTCTTTCTACTTTTGAAACAGGATCCCTACACCACAGCAGGAAACTGAGTGTCAAATCCCAACCAGAGAATTACCTTTGTGCTCACTATTCCCCTTTTCACATCTTGTCTTTTCTCATCCAAAGGACTCAACACATGTATGTAACTGAAGTGCTGAGGCACATATGCCTCCGTGTTGCCACTTTGCTGTGAAAGCAGAAACAAGCATTACAGTGAAATTACACAGGCTCCAGTCAAGCAGCAACACCCTCTGTCTGCAACATCAATGTCACACAACTCTGTTCTAGCAAGACCACTGCTGTTGCCCAGCTCTCTCAGCAAGTCTGCCTTGCTTGGTCCTTTCCTCTTTCCTCCTTCTTCTAGCTGCGCCCATAGCCCAGCCCTCAGCGTGGGTCCTAAATCCTGTTGCTGCCAGGGCAATTCCAGGGATGAGCACCTCCCCATGAGGAAGGGGCTTTGTGTTCACCATCTCTGCCCCACCTGCTCTCCATGCCCAGCCCTGTGTGGGCCAAACCCTGGAGCACACTATGATCTGAACCACCACATGGCCTATTCTGATTGTCTTCAGAGCTCATCTGCTCCTTGCAGAGAGGGGGATCTGAAAGGTTCAAAAGTGCTCAGAAAGTAGGGAAAAACACTGCTTGGGCACAGCAAAGCTTTATCCCTAAGTAGAAATCCCCACCAACCTGCACAGACCTTGAGAGCAGGTACGAAGGCCCTCTGAGCTGGCTTTGGCAGCTGTGCTCTGCCTGACAGGCTGCTGTGGTGGAGATCACCCACCCACATACCCATCCATGTTCTGCTCTGCTGGAAAGCTGGAGGACTCCAGCCAAGACCCCGAGGCTGCAGCCTCCTTGTCCCTCTTTCTAGCCAGGAAAGGGCTCTTCAAGCCAGGACACGGACACACTCCTTGCCTTAGCCCCATGCAGAATAGTGCCCAGCTCCTATTTCTGCACAGCCCACTGCCACCAGAAAGCAAGGTGCAAGGAATGGCAATGAAATCCCTCCCCTGCAGGATATTAATTTTGCAATCATAAGCCCCTTCATCTCCTTCGGGCTCCGGAATAGCTCTTAAGAGCATTAGCAAAGAAATAATCCCCGTCATCTACACAGCATTTTGAGCACTAGCTCAAGTGTGGTTATTGTTTTCCTGGGGGCCATGCTGAGCCCATTCGTTCCTCAGCACATGTGATATGGGCACTGCCACCGGCCCTGTGCTGGATGCCGTGCTCATGGTGTGTACTGGGTCCGGTGTCAGGGAGCTGTGGGGTTGGTGGTGGTGCTGGGGAAGGCTGGCTGTGCAGTGTAGTGCCCGTGCACACCAGCCAAGCACACCAGCCAGCACAAGGCTGCCAGCACCCAGGCATTGCTCCTGGGCTGTGCCTACAGGCCCTGGGCATAAATGAGGCAAACAAAAACCAAATGGCTCACAAAACAACTCCCTGCTACCCTGTAACCTCCTGCAAGTGTCCTCATGCCTAGCCGCTAAGTATGCTGTAGTAGTCCTTATATTCCTATCAGAGCTGCTAATGAGTGATGGCCTGGGCCTGAATCCTTACAGCTGCATTAAGTCCCAGGTAGCTACAGTTGTAAATAATCACAAGTTGGCCAAGAGATACTGCAGGGAGAAGCCCAAGTCAAAAGGAAAACAGATTTCTCTATGGTTCCCACAGTGGTGGAATTGCTGCTGCAAACCCCCTTTGACTGCAGTAGCACTTAATCTGGTTCCACAGGTGTTTATAGAACATCAGCCCTCAGCTCTGACAGGAGAGAAGAAATGCACACAGGAAGGTTTGCGCTCAGGGGGCTCAGGAGCTCTTTGTGGAAAACCAGCTGTGATGCCGAGCACACACGGCTCCAGCACCTGAGGAAGCCACCACAGCTGGAGGATTGGTGACAGCAAGTCCCTGCAGGAGGCAGCTGTGAAAGATGGATCTGGGCACCTGCTGTCCCTCACTCCCTGCTGGATGCCTCTTCTTGCTGGGGAGGCTGCAGGATCCCAGCCTGGGTTGGGAGGGGGACGGAGGGAAGCAGCGTGCAGCCACAGCAGGGCTGGCAGTGCAAGGAGCAAGGATGTGGGGCTTGTGCCTGCAGGGTGGAGAGCGGCTGCTAGCTTTGCTGCTTAGGGCTTAACGCTCTAAAGCCCAGCTGATTCCTGCTCATAAGCAAAGGGAAACCACAGCTGTGTGGGACGCTTAAGGATGCTGTGCTTCTTCAAACCATGACAGGACAAAGGCTTGGGAAATGCATCAGTCTTTGCCTACTGCCTTGGAGCTGCCTGAGTGTTGCCCGGAGCAGTGCTGCTGGGCCCATGACTGCTTTGCCTGCCACAGGACAAATCTGGAAAAGGCTGCCCAGAGACTCTGCCAATGGGACCTACGAGCACAGCAACATCTCAGGTACTCAAGTGAGCCTCTCCATCTGTGGGGCTGCAGGGGGACCCACGGTGCACGGGGATATTTACAAGGGTACAGAGGTTTCTTCTGTAGTGGGGGGGCTGCAGGGCTTTGTGTGGTCCTGTGCTGTGCTCTGGGGACATGTCACATCAGAGGCAAAGTTGCAAGCACAGGGAGAAAACTTAAGGCTTGACTGCCTTCCTTATAGCGTAAAGCTCTCCTCCGTGCTGTCTGTGCACATCATGACAGGCCAGTTCTCCAGCCACAGGATGGGCTCAGCAAACACATCCCTGTCTCCACAGGCTGAGCCAGGACCCTCAAAAAGAAATGAGGCTGGAGATCTGTTAAAAGCACAAATCATCTCCAAATGCTGAGGGTGATTATGGCTTTTAATCAGGTTCCTAGTGTGCAGCAGGTGCAGCTCCCCAGTGAAGGGGTGTCCCCTTTAGTTCTGGGGCTGCCACGGGGTGCCTGCCCAATGCTTTGTTACTGAACTGTTACTTTCCCAAACCTTTCTCCAAGGTTTGTCTTGTTTCCAAAGTGCCTATTGGGAACAGTCCCTGGACCACTTCATCTTCACACCATTGCTAGGGATTGGTGGGGAAGGT